AAAACATTGTAAGAGATGATGAAGTCTTCTTGACGCATGCATGTAAATGAAACCATTGTTTTGTTTTCTTTCGGATAATAATATTAATACCCTTTTTTTTTTCTTTATGAACCAAACATTCTTTAACAAGTAGCTTATGCCTTTTACAAACTTTTTATTAAACTAAATAAGAAAGATATAAGATATATACTTAATGCATATATATAACTTTCTTAAGAATTATTATCTTTCAAATCAGGAACATGTTGGATAACTTTAATTGCACATGCTAAAAGACAGCTCTAGTGCCATGAACCAAAACCTATTATAGCATGAAATGAGTAATGATGATAGCTATGTATATATACTTACATTAGTCATTGGAGTATCGTCGAGGCGATACTCATGCATGATCCAATCCGATTTCTGACCATGAGGAGCTCTACCTTTGTAGAACACTAGTGTCTTCCTCAGTCCAATCCTTCGGACACAACTGCATATGATCTTGTCACGTCCGGTAGCTTTCCAGAATCCAGCAACTGTTGCCCGGTTTGTCCTTGTCCCGGTTGGATACTTCTTGTCCTTGTGGCTAAAGAAGTACCAGTCGTTTTGCGGTGTCGAACCAATTCTACATTCCTCTGCATTTGGCATACCACACAAGTGGTTCAAAATGAAGAACAAAGAAAGAGAGAGGGAAAGAACTTAGGTAGGGTTTATTGTATAAAAAAACCTTGAATGTCCCAAGGCTCAAGCTTGTTGAGATCAACTTCACGAATCACATCAAGATCGATCTTTTGAGAGTTAACTTTCTTACGAAGATAGTAATGGAGAAGTTCTTCTTCGGTGGGATGGAATCTGAAACCTGGAGGCACTTTGGATTGTCCATTAATCGACAAGTTTACCTTATTATCCGTCATCATCTTTCTTTTTGGTGTTCTTTGCTCTCAAGAAGAGTACTAGAGAAAGTTGTATGATTACAAGTGAAAATGGTTACAACTTAGGAACAAGAAAGCTAGCGATGAGATACATTTATAATGGTGGTGGGACTCAAAGACACATCCCCCCTAAAAGGGGAAAATTATTATTTTTTAAATAAAGAAGTTGGAAAATTATCATGTGTTAAAGTGTCTTTATGGAGTTTAATTTATAATTTAGTTGTAACATATGTTCTTTGTTTAAATCGAATTTGATCATACGATAATTGTGACGTAAAACATATTTTTTTTGACGTGTTGTGTCATGTCATGTGTTAGTGTATAAAAAGGAAAAAATACTAACGTAAATAAAAGGGTTTAGTGGGGGATAAATCTTTGTTTTTCTTGTCATATACTTATTATATAGTTTGAATTTCTTGTGTGTTTTTGGTCTTAATAGTAGTATAAAATTTTAGACTCTTATGTAAAGAAAACAAAATGTATATTGTCTTCTAAAACAAAAAGCTACATTAAAAATAAAATATGATTGTCGTTTCATGGTCTACCTTGTTAGTTAGTTATCTAAAATTTTTGCATGTTTTTGGTATGCTCGATCCTTTCCAATGTTCTATCAAAAATACATCACTAACTTATTTTAAAACTTATCATTTTGTTTATACTATCTTATGACAATTAGTCACATAGTTTTATTTCTTTCAATTTCATTTTAAATGATGCTTCAGAAATACATTTGCTTTTTAAATGAAGTTTTAACTTTATATGCAATATATATATATGTGTATTATTTTGACCATTTATTTCGTGTAGTATGTTTTCTTATCGGTTAACGTTAAATCAATGTTCATTTAAAAAAAAAAAAAAAAAAGTAAATGAAATGAAAGTATGAAACTCATATGATTTTTTTCGTATGTGTGTAACATGATGGGTATAAGAAAAAGAACCCTCGATGTTTAGTAGTATGTAGTTATGGGTGTAACTGAGTGACAAAAACATGATGAAGTCAAATAAATTAGAACAAGGGGAGGAGATGGAGGGGACATGTTTCATTCACAAAGTGTGACACTCCACCTTCATTTCAGCTGCCGGGTTCCCATGTAATGCATGTATATTTCAGTCTAGCTAATTCACCTTAATCAGGAAATAGTCAACCACTTGATTAAATTTTCATACAGTTTTACATAGTAAGTGTTTTAGTTATATTGTAGTACTGATTCTTACTTCTTAGGTTGTGGATTACTAAAAAAATATTTGAGGGTAAGGGGCCGGGACTTCTATAGAGTTAGAACCTTTAATGGTCTATGATAACGAGCAATAAGGTCTGCTTATTACCGGATAAGTTCGATTGGAAATGAATTTTTGGAAAAAATTCAAAAAATTATAAGATCTAATGAAAACTAGAACATTTAAAAAGTATTAAAAGTTGGTTCGTGTCTAGAAAGATGTATGAGTCTCGATTCAGAACTTTTTAGTTTAAACGTCTGAATGTTCTGATAATTTTGAACAATTACACTAATTTTTTTTCCTGATGTATGACATAACTGATGACTTTGGAAATTGAAATATCAGATCAAAGAAGAAAGAAATAGAGAGAAGTGGGAGTGACAGGTTGGAGTATCCACTCCCAACTAAAAAGGTGATGGTTGGATTATGTACACATAACACAATAATTTTAATTAATAATAATTATTTATGCAAAATGTATATATATGTTCAACATATTAACATAAAATATGTGTATAATCTAATAATCTAATAATTATTTACAAAAATAGAGGCCGGAGCAAATGGCATTTTAATCGTTTTCTTATTATATAATTGAATATTAAAGTTGTTGTTACCCTACAAGTACTGTGTTTTTATCATTTGTCTGTTGATGGGATCTTTGTGTTTCAACATTAATAATGATGTTTTTATTTCTCTAAATTCTATGCTTAATCATGCTTTTTTGGGTACAAAATTGATGGATTAACTAATACCATATAATGATGATTAACCACATTTGACCCCCCTCCCAATATTTCACTTTTTTCATTTCTTTATTCTGATTTTTAATTGAGTTGAATATGAAGTTTCACCTCGTAATTTGTTCCCATACTAATATTGATTCGTCAATTAATTTGGGTCACACCCTTTTGGTAAATCATGTCCCATGATTCACATGTAGTAAGTTAGTATTAAATTTAGTTTGGAACCAAAAGTAATTCACATTTTCGTTATATCGTTACATCACAATACAGAGAAAAGAAGAAAAAAAAAACAAACAAATTAAGATTTAAAGTTTTACATTAAAGTCGGAATGTATTTAGATCGTTGCTTGGAAGATTTAGGCTATTCTTAGTAACACTTATGCCTTTGTCTTGAATATAGTAACTTGGTAACTAAATCGTAACATGGAAGTAAGTCAATTGTTGAAGGTGCTCCAAAGTTGATCTTTGCTAGAGGAAGATAGAGCTCACATCATTAGAAATCACTATGAACAAAGACGGCTGTGACAAAGGGACGAAACTGGAGAGCCAATGTGAAGATTGGTTGGATTTTCATTCTTGGTTTCGCCATTTTGATTCTGCACTTTCAAATGTATGGTTTTGTGAGATAGAAGAGAGAAATTGAACGAGGTGAATAATCTGCACTTATAATTTAATTGGTTGTAAAATCCAATTAAAGTCATTTAAATGAGATTTTGGTTATAGTTGCGTATGGTGTAGTGAGTGGTTTGGCGGACTATAATACTATTCGATCACATAACGTTTTGAATGATTTAAATAATTAGTGCTTAATCAAATAGCCATAGTCAATAGTTAATAATTAAGTGAAACTACATTGGTTGATGAAGCACAACAAAGTTTGCATGTCAAGCAATTCCGACAGAAGATAGTATTTTGTCATGTAAATCCATGCTCATAGTGACGTAATTATCCACTTTTTTTTGTTTTATTTGAATTAGTTATATGAATAGTTCAAATACACACACATATCATGCAAACCAGAGAAAATTCAGACCCCTTTCATGCATTGTTGGGAGAAATTTGGAAGCTGAGATTTTGGACTTAAAGCCGCCGAAAACAGAACCGGCCTTGTACGACTGTCGAAAAGCTCCATTGCAAGGCTTCGCATTACTAGGGATTTCTTTTTTTTTGCAATCGTTACAATATACATTGTAACTCTTCCTTTGTAGCTCAATTTTGAAGAACTTCAATATCGTTTTTACCACTTCATTTGACACCAGTAGCTTTAATACTAGCTTCGAGTCGATAGATTGATTGTCTTTGCTTTCATGTTTTTAATTTTTCGCCATACGACAATATAATAAATTTATTTACGTAGTAAAAATAATCTCTATAGTCACTTGAATTTTCGCAGTTGCGTCTTAATATTCATGGCTATAGCGTCGTAGATTAAATAATTTGTGGTTTTTTTCGGCTAAATAACCTTATAGCCACGAATATTAAAATGTAGCCGCAACATGAAGTGGTTATACGGATATTTTTTACTATATACACAGTTTTCATTTTTATTGAAATATTTACATTCTTAACATACAAGCTCAAATCCATTGCATGACAATGCAATATCACCACAAGCACCATCAATTCACAACCCTATCATCAATTTTATCATTTACTTTCTCAAGTAACTAAGTTAAATTGTTGATGATCAAGTACAACAAACTAACTCTTTGATCTCAAATTCATAACATCATTATTTAATGACTTACGGCATGAGTGGATAGACGAGTGCTTGTGGGGGAGTTTGGAGAGTAACATTTGAATGCGATGAAATTTATGGTTATAGTTGCATATGTTGTGAGTTGTTAGGCGTTTGTGGAGTACTAAACTATATATCCCATCAAAAAAAAAAAACAATTTAGCAGATTAACTAGTTAGTGCTTAGTTAATTAATTAATAAGACATAGTCAATAGTTCATAATTAAGTGTTGGTGAAGCATAGTGAAGTTTGCATGTCAAGCAATTCCGACCAAAAGCCTATTGTCATGTAAACCCATGCTCATACTGACGTAACTATCCACTTAAACTAATGCACTTATATTTTGAATTACAAATTATGCACGTATTTGAATAGTTTAAATACATATCAAGCAATTTTAGAGCCATGCATATAGGTAAGATATATAATAATGGATACATAATGCAATACATATAAGTGTTTGTAGAATGAGAATAGTACTCTCTATACATAGGAATGTGTATAGATAGATCATATCATCATCATCTCTTTAGAAATTTAGCGATTTGGAGAATACATCGAAGAGACTTCCCATCACGAAGCAGCTGAAACGCATCGTTGATCTTCTCAAATGGAAGCTCATTCGTAATAAAAGGTTCCAATTTCACTACACCTTTCATGCATTGTTGAGCAAAATTTGGAAGTTGAGATTTTGGTTTGAAGCCACCAAAAACCGAACCGGTGATTTTACGGCCTTCGAAAAGCTCCATCGGGTGAAGAGGCAATGTTCTTGGCGTCGGATATATCCCTACGAGCACCGTCGATCCCCAACCCTATCATTTGCAAAATACAATTTCTTGTTTGTCGAGTAACAAAATATAACTCTAGCTAGGTCAAGAAAAATATCAATTCACATTGTTGTTTTCAAGGACTTACGACGTGAGTGGATAAAAAGGCTTCACGAAGAACATCAACGTTTCCTGTGCATTCGAAGCTATAGTCCACACCTCCTCCCGTTATCTCTCGTATCATCTTTTTATTCATTTGTGAATTAGAATTTATTAATACTAAGTTAATGTTATGATTATTGATTATATATTTGTGTTATAAAGTTGGTAGAGTACCTGATGAACTGGTTTAGTTAAGTCCTTAGGGTTTACGAAGTCTGTTACTCCCATTAGTTTACCTGCAATACTCGTATAATTGGTCAGTTATATGGTAATGGTTAAATAGATTTGTCTATTTAATCATGTAGCATATCATTAATAACCCGATTTAGACTACATATCAACGTTTAATATCAATTTGCGCGATATAGATAAGACAAAACCATACATAACGCTCAAGTTTTTAATCTCTGTAAACTAATATTTCTCTAACTAATTATTAATGTATTCAGTTGAAAAATCGAATTAGGAATCAAAATCAAATCACAAAAGATGACATCAAATTTGATTCATATAAAGGAAAAAAGAGGAGCAAAACCTAAATATAAGATGGTAAGAAACAAAACACTATGTAGAACGATATATATAGTAATAGTATGCTGGTGTTTTATAAAAAGAAACATTACTTTTCTCAAATTTGGAAGCATTAGCATCAACACCAATGATCCTAGAAGCCCCTCTTGCTCTTGCACCTTCAGCCACCTATTCATGAGATATATATATATATATATATATATATATATTTGTCATTTTCACTTCGTGTAATATATAAATAAAAATCACTTTAAACAAGATATAATCTTACAGCGAGTCCAACAGAACCCAATCCAAAGACAGCAGTTGTTGTTCCTTCCTTCACATTTGCAGAGTTCCAAGCTGCTCCCACCCCTATGAATGTTTTACCAAGTTTTTTATTACATGCAAACAATATCATGTGAATTCACGTTTCTTAATTTTATTTTTCTTTGTTTTCACGTAAAAATATATATAAAAAAACCTTAAAATGTATACTAGAGGTTGTCAACGGACCACGACAGTAAGTAACATATAAATCCAAATTTACTCAAAAAGAGACAAAGAGAAATAACTGCGTTTGCAAACGAGAAATAAATGGTGTTTTCCAAACCAAGGCAGTCCAATTGATAGGTCCCTATCTTCTCCTCTGTTCCCTAGCTTAGCTAATCTCAAAACTCACTAGATAAATCTAGATACCCAAGATTCCTCAGTTTGGTCAAGACCATATGGACACAAATCAATGAATCAAATTCCTATATACGAGTTATTAAGTAACTAACCAGTGGAGACACCACAGCTCAAGAGGCTCATTTGCTTGAGAGGAGCATTAGGATCAATCTTGACGACGCATGCGGAGTCCAAGACAGTGTATTCAGTGAAGGTGGAAGTGTTAAGGAAGTGATAAATGCGTTGGCTCTTGCTCGAACCACCGTCCTTGGTTGTGGTGGTTGAGAATCTCGTCCCTCCATCACTCACCATCACTCTCTTCATTGGATCCACCTGATATTTCTCACAGAGATTGCTCTCTTCTTTCGTACACACTCTACATTCACCACATTCTCCATTAAAAGCCGGAATCACATAGTCTCCTTCTTTCACATCTTTTACTCCTTCCCCTACACTCTCCACAATCCTATGATCAACATATCCATAAAAAACATGTTTAGTTAGCGTAAAGGGTATAGTTCTTTCTTGTAAAGAATTTAGATATCGCGATATATATACATACCCGACAGCTTCATGGCCAAGAATCCTTGGAAATGCTCTTTCAGCTTCGTTCTTTTTTACACACACAAAAAAGGGTTTCTTGATTAGATTACAATGTTAATCAAGAAAGCATGCATGATTTGTATTGATTTGAATATATATGTGCATGAGTACCGTGCCGTTCCAAAATCCGAGATCGGTGTGGCAAATGGAGGAATAAAGGATTTGAAGCCGGACTTCCATTTTCTGAGGAGGGTCGACGCATATTTCTTGTATTACAAGCGGCTCTTTTGGTCCCCATGCTACCGCAGCTACAAGCATCACATAAATTCATCATTATACTATATATCATATGCATCATCATCATTGGTGAATGGTGAGCAATTTACTTACCTTTGCAAGTGATGACCTTCCCTTGAGTCTCCGCCATCTTCTTTTTCTTTTTAAATTAGATTTGTCTTTTATGAACCTAGTAGCTCTCTATACAGAAACAGAGATCTATATATGTCTAAATATAGTGAGGGTGTTGAAGTCACATGTATATATAACCAAAATCGAGTCAATAATCCCGAGAGAGGTGGGTTTGATAAGATTGATATCACCATTTAATCTGATCTTTTTGTTAAAGACCGATAAGATTGGTATCTTTTAATTTTTATAAGTTTTCAAATTTGTGCTCCAACTAACTAACTTATATATTTCATGCAGAAATTAAAACTGTTCACCATCTTCACATAAGATTTGTGAATCATCTCTTAAGACAGCGTCACGTCAATATTATGTACATCGTTTTCAAATATTTTTTTGTTTCAAACGTCAATGATTTTTTATTTATTTTCGTATAGTTTTTTAAAAAATTTTAAAATAAATCACAAATTTGGTAATGAGTGGTGGAGAAAATAAGTGGTAGGTTTTTTATGCGGGGACTACATTACTTGCTATTAAATGGCTTTTAATGGCATATTCAATCATACAATGGACAAAAACTGGTGGTACAAGTGACTAGAAATTGAGCCAGTGATGAGTTGTAATGTGTGTTCGGCAATAGCTTAATTAAACCATAAACCCTGCGTGTGAGTGAGACACTTGATGTCTTACATGTGGTGGATTTGCGAGAAACTCGAAATCTATTTGTAGTGTTAAATCTATATATATATATATATATATATATAGAACTTAAACAATCTTTCATATGAAAGCGATTAAAAGATGTAAATTGCTTTATTTAGGAAAATGAAATGAATATAGTAAAGGTCTATGTTAGTATTGAGCAACACATTTTGCGTGGATCTTTCTAAGTACTAAACCACATGAGCAGCCAAATTAATATGAGCGTCGGTTATGGGAGTTAGCTAGGAAGCCAAGACTTGGTTATGCATGCTCCTGATTTTTGTAATCTTACCTGTGGATATTATGATGGTGTTTTTTTTAAATGATGTTTTCTTTATAAATGTATATTTTAACTTCTGGAGAAATTATAGCATAAGCTTGAATATATATCGCAATGTCTGTAACTAGATTTACGAATAAGACAATATTTCTAAGTTTTTTTGTTAGCTACAGTGATCAGTTAAAACCTTTTATTCATTTTTGTTGGTAATAGTTTTCTTTTATTCGTTAATACGCTAAACAGTTTTCTCGATATAATTAAGAGAATTTTTGAAAAATACCCCTTTAGGTGTATCCCTTTTTAAAAATACCCCCTTTATCTATCCATTTTCAAAAATACCCCTATTTAAATATAAAAAATTATAAAGTTTTATATAGTTTATAAGGTACTTCTATATAATAACTACTACTGGGAGATTCAATATAAATATTTAAAAATGTTTTAAATAGTTTTTAATCGTTTTTATAAGTTTTATAAGGTTTTTAAATGGTTTTTAAAAGGGTTTATACAGTTTTTATAAGGTTTTTATATGGTTTTTATAATTTATTTTTACGCTATTTATGAAAGGTATATAAAATTTTATACACATATAAAGGTAATTTGTGTATATATTTATAAGCTTACACACATATTTGGATAAATTTCAATATTTTTAGTGGTTTTTTTGATAAAGTTTGAAAAGGGGGTATTTTTAAAAAGAGGTATATGAAAAGGAGTATTTTTGAAATTCCCCCTATAATTAATAATAATATTTTTTTTACTATCCAGCTTACAATGATATATAAACATATTAGAAAGAAAAATTAAAATGATGTCAAAGAAAAGAAAAACAAAGTAGATAAAGAGGTATTTTTTTTTCTTTTTTCGGTATTTAAAATCTCTCGTTGTTCTAATACTAAAACGCATAATTTGATACGTTTTAGTAAACGCAGAAAAAACAAAACAGACCTTCGCTTTAGAATACACAGCAGCTAAAACAAGAGATTATGCGTTTTAGTATTAGAACAACGCATTAATTTGTTTTTTTTTGTAAATAATCTATCTACTTTTTGTTTTTTTTTGTAAATAATCTATCTACTTCTTGGCTCATTTGAGTCCAATATGAACGAAACTATATATGACCATGACTCATGAGACAATGATTTTAATACTGGAAGACAAAAACATAAGGTAAAAAACGTAAAACTGGAATTGGACATTTCACCGTGTGGACCGAAACGATCTAAGAGTGGCTTGGATATTTTGTTAGCCATGTCGCACACTAATAGAGTAGTAGTAGGTGGATGACTCGAACTTGAATCGGACCATCTTTAAAACGTTTGGTTGTGTCTGATTTGACTGTAATCTACCATATCTCAAATTCTCAATATTACTATTTAGATGTATATACTCGAAAATAAAAATTCTCAATAATACTATTTGGATGTATATATTCGAAAATAAAAATTCTCATTAAATATAAATTCTTGTTTTAACAATTTCCTAAAAAAAATAAAAAATAAAAAATAAAAGGACAGTAAAAAAGAAACCTCGAAATGCACAAACACTTGAGTGTAATGTACCTAGACCTCATTTTGTATCGTAATAAACGTCACCATTTTCAGAAAACCACCAAACTTTTTTTTATTTAATTATTTATTTATTTCTCGGAATTTCATAAAGTTGACTTTTTCAGAAGTTACTTACCAATAAAACAAGTGAACAGAACAGCTGTACTTAATTGACTTGTCTGATCTCCAACACAACTCAACGTAACTGCTTGTGTTCGAACATCAAATGTAACTCAAACTCTTTTTAGTTTTGTCGTAAATCAATCTTTTGACTGTAATAACTGTAAAAACAAAAAGTTAAGTTTTTGATAAAGAGTGTTTTTAAGTGCTGTGTTTATGCTCTATTTTTTTACTCATAAAAGGATAAATTTAAAAACTCTCTAAGAGGTAACTTTTTACCCAAAAGATTCTCAGGTAAGGAAAAAAAGGCAACGGAGGAAGAAGAAGAAGGAAGGAAGCATCATCAAGATCCCAGAGTTACATTCCGAAAACAAGAGATGAGAGATGCAGACAAACATCTTTACATGTCTGTGTGTACTGTTCTTTTTTAAGAAGAGACAGCCATATATATATATATATTGAGACACGAGGTATGTGAAAACCCTGTAAAGCTAAGATCAATGCATTGGATGCCTCGGTGATCTTGGACGAACAGGCGTCTTTGAAGGACTCACCCTGTAGAAACCAAACAAAACCAATCACAACAACGAATTGTTTTAGCTGCTGTGTATTCTAAAGCGAAGGTCTGTTTTGTTTTTTCTGACCTTATCGGTAAAGAACCAAGAACAACACCACTGCAGTTGAGAGCAGCTATTGCGCTTTCAGCCTGTGGAAAGATATAAAAAAGATTCATTATACTCAGAACTTGATACAAGAAATCAAGAATCGTGTGGAGGGTGTGTGTAATTTGACAATTACCATTACAAACTCTACAAAGGCAATACGAGTTGAGTGTTGATAATCTCCAAGAAGCCTCAGGCGGTAAACCTGTATTAAACAACATCTAATTAGTACACTATTGAACAAAACAAGAAACAACAACTTTGCAGTTTAGCAACTACAAGATTTGTTCACCTCTCCGCAGAACGATTCGAAAAAGATCTTTACATCAGATTGAGTCACCTGTAACCAAGTTTTAACAAATGTGAAAGGGAGGTACTTCATCAGTTAAGGGTAAGTGAAGAGAACTGTTTCAAGGGAGAGCCACCTTCTTGTCAATGTTAGTGCAGTAGATAGTTCTTGCACACATCTCACGCTCATCTTCAGTCTGCAATAAAACCAAAAAAGAAAAGAGAGAGGAGTAAATCATTTTGTCAAGTCACAAAATCGTCAGAGACTTTGGCATAGTAGAAGAAAAACTCACCCTGGGCAAAAATGTCGGGTTAACCGGTGCAATAGCTGTTTTAGATGGCAGAACTTTCACAGGATAGAATCCTAACATAGTCCCCGATAAATTTAGAGCGGTCATCGCACCATCTGAAAAGAAACCAAAACCAAATTGCCAACACAAGAGACTTAACCACTGTTGTCCACTAATGATACTCCAAAAACAGACAAGAAATGAAATAGTACCTTCATCAGTGAACTCGATAAACGCAAACCGAAGCACTGAGTTCGGGTCACCACATATACGGCAATCAACAACCTGTTTACACTAAGCACAATAAAACACACAAGCAAGCACAAAGGATGAAGTTTATCAATGATAGCTTTCAAGAAGATATTTTCAACCTGTCCACAGCTCACAAACAAACCAGCAAGCTGCTCTTCAGTGACCTATAACACCCAAAAAACACACAAAGTGAAAGAGTCAAAAGGAGAAGTCTTAAGGAAACTCATAGAAGAGAGTAAAGGTGTAAGCTTTTAAACCTGTTGATCAAGATCAGAGACATAGACAGTTCTACGGATAACATCTTCCCTCTGAGCCATGCTTGTTCGAGCGTTCATCCTTCTCTTTCCTTGACCAAAGCTCTTCTTCTACATCACACACACACACACACAATCAAAACGCATATTATGGTAAAATCTTTCTATTTTAATGATCCATAGCTATGAATCCTAGATTTAACAAAACAACACAAAACCATTCCCAATTGTGTCTTATCCTCTGAAAAGATCATCAATTAACAAAAACCCTAAGACAATTCAAGTGAAATTAAACCTCAATTCAGACAAGACCCCACAAATTTAGACACAAACCGGTGAGGTGTGTCTCTTACCCGTCTGAAACCACCGTTTTCATTACCGTAGCCGCCATTTCCAGCACCAGAAAAGCCATTGTTACGGAAGAAGGAACCAGCAGAGGTGAACAAACCACCGTTAAGTCCTCCGTTACCTCCTTGTTTAGTCAGAGACGGAGGAACAAACTCTTCAGCCATGGGATTGAGCTTAGAGAAAAGCTCCTGAAGCTCCCTCATATCACGATTATAGCTCTCAGCACCGTCAACGCCGTCGGATCTCGCCACGTGTGACCCGATCTTGCTGTAGAGATCACCTTGATCGTGCCGGAGAACTTGATCGATCGTAGAGTGATGGTTCTGATCATCGGAAGTAACGCCGGAATCTTGACTTGTCATTGAAGAAGGTGGTGAAGACGGCGGCTGGATCACGACTCCTCCTGCATCAGCAGCAGCAGGAGCTGCTCCAGTCTCAACAACCGCCATGATTATCAGAGAGAGAGAGAGAGAAAAACCCAGAAATAAAAATCAAAACTTTTTTATGGATAAATTGTGAAGGAATCGGGCGATCGAGGTTAGGATTTGATGAAGAGAAAGAGAGGAATCAGCATAAGATGCTCTCTTGAGGAAGAAGAAGAAGGAGAAGAGAAAGGAGAGAGAGAGAAATAAAGAGAGGATTAAAGAGTGATTAATCAAAGGATCGGTGATAATTAATGGTATTTTGATTAGAGTGATTAAGTAAGGATTCGTTGAGAAACCAAACTGAGTTACTTCACTTGTGTATTTTGGTTTGTTTACTGCGGTGAAAAAAAGAGTACGATTGGATAACGTAGAAATTAGACATACCGGAGAGGGGAGAGAGAGTGGAGTGTTTGGTATCTTTTATTAGTCTATTCTTTATTCGACTAAAAAAAACTAGGAACTATGAACTCAAAATTATATTGTACATTTTGTATTTATACCTTCTAATACTAATATTAGGATTTACCGCGTGGTACACTACGAGACCATAATTTAATATATTTGTTTGGTTGATCATTTTCGTTGTTAATTTATATAGTCTAGTTTTATACATGTTTATATCAATTTAATTTTGTATAACTTTATGAATTTATATTATAATTAGATTCATAGATATATGTGGTCAACCGATCAATTCGTGGTTAATTTTGTTGTAAAAAAGATTATATTTTAAATTAACCCGTAAAATATTTTAAATATAGACAACCCGTAAGAAATATATAATCATATTTATGAAAACTGAAACGCGTTAAATCATATTTATGTACAATATTATTATATTTTAAATATTTTTAGAGTAAAAATATTAATAATACTTTTATAGAGTTTAAATATTTTAAATATTTTAAATATTCTATAAAACTTAAATTAAATATTATAATTTTCAGCTTTTAAAAGTTTTAATATTTATAATATTTTAAAATTTTTTCAAAAATTAAAATTTATAGTATTTTTATAATATTTTTAAAAGTTTTTATTTTTCTTAAGTAAAGAACCGGATTAAACTGAATAAAAAGTTTATATAAATAAAAATAAATTATGTAAAATAAAGGAAATGCTAAAATAAGAAAACAATACTTTATTTTTTATTAGTGGTAATAATATAATTTAATTTTCATTTTAAATTGATCATAGTTTAAAATTTTAAATATGTTATTGAGTTTTAGAATGGAAGTAAATTTTAAATTTATGGTAGAATAAAACAACATTTATGTAATTATATATATAAAACTATAAAGAGGAAAAATAAAATTGAAAGTGAAATATTAGTTTATAACATGATCAAAAAGAAAAAAAAAATATTTCATAAAATGAATCAAATGCTTTTAATCCAAATTTGAGTATTGAAAGATAATAATTTAAGAGAAAATAATTATAATATTTTTTGAAAATAAATTGAAAAGATAATAAAATATCACAATATGAATAAAAAATTAATAAAACAAAATTATAAAACCTCCTTCGCGGAGTGAGGGTCAACTGCTAGTACAATATACAAAGTAAGGATTAATCGAGAGAAAAACCAAACTTGAAATGAGTTACTTCACTTGTGTCTTTTTCTTTTTCTTTTTGTTTTAACTGCGGTGAAAAAGAGAGAGTTCGATTGGATAACGTAGAATTCGACGGTACCGGAGAGGGGAGAGAGTGAGGGGAGTGTTTGGTATATTTTATTAGTCTATTCTTGGACTCAAAACTAGATCAACATTTTAGTGACTAGGAGGTAGAAACTCAAATCTATATGAACATTAGTTTATACTTTATATAAAAAAGATTTCTAATAATAATCAATTTTAAATTTTAATTAACACAGTCTTAACCTAATTTGTTTATCATTGTTCAAACAAATTTTCCTTCGAAATTGGTAAGGATAAGTTTATTTTAATAATTGATAAAGCGATTTTAACTTAATTAAAAAGAAAACAAATAATTATAGATTTAAGTTAAATAATATGATTTTTTCTTCTTGGGATTTCAGCAACTTCCGCTTTAAGATTGATTAAAGATGATGTTGACATGAATGTTAATTTGTCGTTAAGCATTTATACTTGTATACTGTTCACAAACGTCTTCACTTAGTAAGTATATTTTTGCACTTGTTTTTATTACGGTGAAAGATAGGAGGATGTGATTAGATATTTGTTATAAATACAATTCACATTTTTATATACAGTATATATATTCTTTCTTTTCCTTACTTATCATTACTGCTCCCTTCATCAATTTCTCTTTCAAAAGACAACATTTTTATTTTCGTTTATATATAAGACCTTACTGTTTTTTAGTATTTATATTTACAAGTATGTATATTATTTGCACAAAAAAAATATTAGAGTATAAGAGTCGAATAAATGTTAGAAAGTGGTAACATATGTGGTGTGAGAAGTGTAAACATAACAAAAATAAGTAAATCAGTTTGTAACTAACAACGTTTTCTTAAATTGGTTTAAAACGACATGATAACATACTCGATACAATACAAAACGACATGATAACATAAGTCACACATCAAGTAATAAATATGCTAAATCGCTTAATTAAGATGCGGTCTGGACTCTGGGTCTGAGCCCAGCCCATAATTATTATCAAAGCCCAGAAAGAGCTCGACGGACTTGAGACGGTAAATTAACTTTGTTAGTTTGCCAGCGACGGACTTCAAACGGAAAATTTAGAGCTTCTTCTTGTTCAGTTCCTCTTCCGACAATATCAAAACTACATACCACTTCTTTCCCTTTGGATTTTCGAATCTCTCCGCCGCCTTAACTGTTCAGCTCCGTTGGTACTTCGGCAATCGGATGTCGGACCCGGAGATGCATATGTGGAGTTCTTGTTTCTGTCTGAGTCTAATTTTCCTTGTCAGGTGATACAGCTCTAGTTCTTGTAATCGAAACATGCTTCTTTGATTCTTAGGGTTTTGTTAGAATTGACGAATCGGGTTGTTATAAAAATAGGGTTTTTTTTTAGGTTTTGGTTTCATAGCTTCTTGTTCTGTGTAGTTTAGGCTAAGAATTATAGAAATTGGGGGTTAGGGTTTTGTTAGATTAGAGATGAAAGGAAGATCTTATAGGTTCTCTAGCACGGATCCTCATGAGGATTGGGTTGATGGATCCTGGACTGTGGATTGTGTTTGTGGTGTGAACTTCGATGATGGAGAAGAGATGGTGAATTGTGATGATTGTGGTGTTTGGGTTCATACTCGTTGTTCTCGTTATATTAAAGGTGAGGAGCTTTTCACTTGTGATAAGTGTAAAAGCAAGAACAATGTTAATGATAGTGAGGAGACTGAGGTTGCTCAGTTGTTGGTTGAGTTGCCTACTAAGACCTTGAGAATGGAGAATTCGTGTACTCGGGGTGTTCCGCTGAAGCGTCCTTTTAGGTTATGGACTGAGATCCCGACCGAGGAAAAAGTTCATGTGCAAGGTATCCCAGGCGGGGATCCGGCTCTATTTGAAGGGTTGTCGTCGGTTTTCTCCCGGGATCTTTGGAAGTGTACTGGTTATGTGCCTAAGAAGTTTAACTTTAAGTATAGGGAGTTTCCATGCTGGGATGAGGAAGAGAAGCAGAAGGATGATATTGAGAATGGGTATCAGGAGGAAAATGGTGCAGGGGTTTTATTTTCGATGTCGAAGGAGAATGTGATTGCTGCTCCTGTGAGTGCTTTGGTTGGAATGAGGAGTCTTGATGCTAAGGGAACCAATGACTTGAAGCATGGTTGTGCAAAAGATGGGATTAGTTGGGAGGACCCTGGGGATGCAGAGATGAAGCAGTCTCGTAGTGCAATGAAGAAGGATAAGAGGTTGCTTCGTCCTTTGATCACGAATAAACGAAGAAAAGAATTGTTTGGAGCCTCGAAAGAGCGGATCAAGAAGAAGGTTGAAGTTGCAGATAAAAAAGAGGATGATAAGAAAGGTTTTGTCGGTAAAACAGGTCAGTGATTAGACCTTCTGATGCTATCACCGGGCTTTAGTTTTCCATTATTTGCTTCACATCCAGACATGTATGTCCATCTATAGTTCTTATAAACTCTCGTTTTTGTTTCTTTCAAATTACTAGCAGTTCGATCAACGAGTGATTCTAAGCCATCAGAATCTCGTAAGGACTTAGAACCAGAAGGTTTGGCTAGCAACGTTGGGATCACGAAGAGTGAAAAGGCCAAGAGAGCTGCTTTTGGAGAATCTAATGATGGTGGCCTTTCTCTGAAAACTGGCGTGGATGAATCTGGTAATTCAGAAATTGGTGTTGAATGCTCCAGAGAACAGAATCTTTCTGACGTTCATGCTAATGGTGCTGGAAAACAGGAAGAGAAAGCTGGTCATCATTTCCGAATTGTGCTTAAGAGCTCTGCAGCTGCTGATCCTTCCGTGCTCGGAGGAAAAGATGTTCCACAGAGTGAGGCTAATAAGGAGGACGAGGTATGTCCTATGTTGGCGAAAACTTATACTAATATGAAATTTACCTTTGAAGTAGTCTTGATTAGATAGATATTACTCTACCATAGGCCATAGGGGGTTTATCTTGCATCGAATATTGATGTTTCTTTCAATTAATTATCATCATGTTGTTCTTAAGTCAACCCATTTTCATCTCTTTAGTAGCAGATAAAATCAAATAAAAAAGATTTAGATGTTACACAACTATTTGAATTGACATAGCCTAAATTTAGTTTAGGAAGCAACTGATGATTTGAGCTTTTCTGTTGAAAGGGTTTACTCTTGTTTTAAGATAATAGTGGGGAAGCAACTGATAATTCTTATTTTGCAGAGACAAGGCACAATAGCTGACGCTCCAGAAGACACTGCAGGCGATTCATCTGAAAGTTCGCTTAAGCCTTCTCCTGGTTCCACAATTGGTAAAGCACGAGAATCTGAAGAGAAAACTGGTGATGATGCCAGTGGGAATATCAGTTCGAGGAAGAACAAATTCCTAAAAGAAACAGCTGATACTGGTGCCGGTGGAGCTGTAGGCCCTATGGATTCTAGAATTTCAGGGACGTCGACATCTCATATCTCTGGCGCTTCTGAATTGAACATAATGAGACCGAGCAGTTCACTTCCTGATGAGCACAGACTGCAGCCTGTTGGTATGGTATCAGAAGGACTTAGTAGTGGCAATAGAGATAAAACTTCTGAATTAAAACAAGAAATAATGGTTTCGGAAGCAGAAAAAGATATTCTGGAATCAAAGCCTGGATCTGGTTTATTTCACGATTCATCAAAGCCTTTTAGACCTACTCCACACACGGTTTCAGGAAACGGCAGGCCTAAGATGGTAGTATGCATTGGAAAAACATCAGCAAGTTCAGCCACAGAAAAGTCTTCTAGGTGTGACGATAATCCTAAGCCCTCAACTTCCAGGAATTCTAATCCTGGCTCTAAGCAAGAACCAGGTGGCGATGATACTGATTCTGATGCTGATGCTAATGCCAATGACGAGGACTGTACTTCCAGTGATGTGATCCGAGAGAGAGATGGGAAGGATGAACCTTCAGAGAAAGCTCTGAAACATCCTAAATTTCCTATTACCTCTACAAAATCAATGCAGCATAACCGTACATCCCATTCTTCAGTTTCCAAGACAAGAGAGTTTTCCTCTTCTTCAAAGACATCTTCAGCAGCTCGGCTTAATGGTGGTTCATCCGATGCTCCTAATAAACATTCGCTTCCAGGGACCTTCCCGAAAAATGAAAAGCCTGGACAATCAGTATTCCAGTCATCAACTAAGAACCCTGTGCAGTCTATAGTTTCTAATGCTCCAAATTTGAGCGATGAAGAGGTGTGTGAGATAGATTTTTTTTCTCTTTCTCGTTCGTCTTCTCTATTCTTCTACGGTTTGACATGTTTTGTTTGTTCCATTAATGACCAGCTTGCGTTAAGACTGCACCATCAACTCAATAGTTCTCCTCGGGTTCCTCGTGTCCCGCGCATGAGACAGCCTGGTAGCTTGCCCCTGTCTCCAACCGCTCCTAGTTTTAAGCGCACTTCTAGTTCTGGTAGCAAGGATCACACAACGGTATGATATAAATTCCATCTTCTCTTTTAGCCTATACTCTCTTTTAGGCTCAAGCTTGTTGGCTGATTATGTATCTATTTGGCTAGTTTTCCAGAAGGAAAAACAAGGATGCATCCAAAGAAGGTCACCGCAATTTGCGTGATGATGATGGATGTAGTACAAGGAGTGCCAAAACGCGTCGTTCTCCTGATAGGAGAACACAACAAGACAGTGGAAGCAGAGGAGGGAGTTTACGTTCCAAGGGGGAAGAAAATGAAACCCCCAAAACCTCTTCTTACTCCTCTCGGAAAGTACATCTCCCACCAAACTCGACTACAAGCACAAGCAGCGGACCGTGTTCATCCAGCGAGTTGAATGAGCACAATAAGCCTTCTCCACACAGTTCCCCTAGGAATAATGGTACTCCAGTACATCGAACTTTGCCAGGCTTAATCAATGAAATCATGAGCAAAGGCAAGAGGATGGCATATGAGGAGCTGTGTAACGCAGTCTTGCCGGTATTATTACATCTCCTTACCACATATATTTCTGAATTGAGACATATCATCCTCTAGGTAACAAATTAGCTGTTCTAATGTGTTGTGTTGGTCTCTTTCTTGTAGCACTGGCCTCACTTGAGGAAACACAACGGAGAACGATATGCATATTCAAGCCATTCACAAGCTGTTCTTGATTGCCTGAGGAATAGGCACGAGTGGGCTCGTCTGGTTGATCGTGGCCCCAAGGTTTGTATACCAACTCTCCATAAATTTGTCCTGTTCTCTTCAACTCTCAATGAAAATCATCTTAATTATTTGCTGTGGTTTCAGACTAATTCGGGGAAAAAGAAACGGAAGCTTGATGCAGCAGAGGAGGAGTCAGATGAGAACGAAAACAGTAAGGGAGGAAGGAAGAGACTGCAACAACATCACTCCCAAGGAGAAGAGTTTCCCAAAGGAAAAAGGAAAGCAAGAAAACGAAGAAGGCTCTCTCTTCAAGGAAAAGGCGTCAAAGTGTTGAGAAAGAAGAGAAACGAAGAAGAAGAAGACGAGGTAAGCGAAGAAGATGAGGAAGGTGCGTTCTCGGACACAAGCGAGGAGAGTGTCTTCTGCGAAGACGAGGAAGAAGAAGAAGAGGGCCACACTACTGGTGCTGGTGCTGGACGACAAGTCTCAGCTAGTAGCTCTGAAGAAGCTCAAGCCACTTCATGACTCTAGTCTCTCTTCTCCCTATGTAATATAGAAAGTACTGTATATGTGTATGCATTATGTAGCTTTGTGTATTTTACCAAAAAGCTTTTCTCAATAGACAATGTACCAATAATTTGTGCTTCTCTATAGGGCCAATATTGGGAATGGGATGGTATCATTTTCTGAGCTGTATTTGTGGTTTTGTGGTATAATATAATTTTTAGGAACAAAAGTCTAATTTGATGTATGTCTGCTTATCTTATTGCCTCAAATGTTTTTAAATTTCAGTATAGATTTCAAATTTCTAATAAAATTTAGAGTATACAATCAAATTACTCACTTAATTTTTGTGATTGTGTACTGGATTGAGTTTGTTTTTTAGGTACATTTACAAACATTGAATGGAGTTGCATCTACTTTGGTGATTTCATTACCAAAGCTTTTCTTCTCAATAGACAAATGTCTAATAAGTAACCTAAGATTATTTAGAGGATACCAACAATTGTAAAACATATATTGTTTCTTGACCATTGTTCCCCTTCTAGGAAATATTCTAAAATGCAAAATAATATCTATCTTTCTTGAAAACAAAAATCAATATTTACATAAAATACATATGAATGTGTCAATTTTCTATTTACACAAAACTAAATAGGAAAACTTAAGAGGAAATGACAAATAAAATTGATATACTTTTCTTTCACAAAGGTTTAGCTCTTTTTGAAGGTAAGGAATATAATTATCTCACTATTTATAAATCAATAAAATTTCAATACCTATAAATTCAAAGATAAAAATTATCTTCTTTTAAAAGAAGATTTTAAAAAGAGTTAATTTACAGTAAGATATCATAGAGATATTAATATTAATGATAATAATAATAATCATCATAATAAATACTTCAATAGTATAAAATATGAACCAAAGTGGTTGTTGTTTAGTGAAGAAGATCAAAGAAGAAGACCATACTAAAAGGGACCAAAATTTCTTCTTCTCTTCTTATCATTTCCGTCGATTTCTCTCTGACGTCGTATGTTCTCTATGTCTCTCTTCCTCTACCTCCAATCTAGTTTTCTTTTTCTTTTCCTTTTCTTAAATTTCGTCTTTGTATGTCTTTGACAGAGGAAAAAGTGCTTATCTCGATTTGGGATTGCTTCAATTTCTCGAATTTTCTCGGTTTCTTCGGATTCTAATGTACGTTTGATATATCCCGATTGAAATTTCAAATATTTCCCGCGTGGTTCACCTCTTTTTAGAGCGGTGTAAACAAGAATTTTAAGTGATTTTAGTAAAATTCAAATTCTTTGCTATTTAATCATAAATTTTAGAAAATCTACTGAAATCTAGTGTTATGGAACTAATGATTTAGAAATCTACCTTAAAATCCACTATTATTGAAAACAGTTGTGAGTTTTATTTTTAACGATTTTGAAGCAGTTTATAGGATTTGAGACGATTTTCTTTGTTAAAAATTCGTAAACCCAAATCTCATAGTTTTAGGTGGAATTTGAAAACATTTTACCATAAAAAATCATATGAAGTTCAATAAAATCATTAAAAAAAAACTCAGGAAAACTTAAATCACTTACAATACTAATACACCTCCATTTTATAGTTCAGTGTTTTTGACATATTGGTTTTTAATTTTTAGTTTGAATCAGATACGATGACAAACATAATTCCGAATCCATCAGAGTTTGTGAGTTTCCATGTACTCCACAAGAAGAGAGACGTATTGTCACTGAGTTGATCAGCGAAGCAGAGGCTGATTTGAAAGAAGGAAACTTGTATTTCGTTATATCAAACAGGTCACCTTTCTCACTATATCCTAATCCTTAGCCTAGTTTTGGATGTATTTTAATGTTACTCTGTTAGTGCAGGTGGTATACAAGCTGGAAAAGATTTGTTGGGCTACTAACAGAAGAAATTCTTAGTAAAGAGCCTTCTGAAGCTAGAAGGCCTGGACCAATTGACAATTATGATATTATTGAAAGCGAAAACAAAGCTAGTGATCCGCAGCTTCGAATGATGCTGGAAGAAGGGGTAGACTATGCTCTAGTTCCTCAAAAAGTTTGGACTAAACTCGTCGAATGGTGATTATTTCCTTTGCTCTACATAGTAACATAATAGGGAACTTCATGTTATGATGCCCTCTTGTATATATTGTCAAGGGATGCTTTCAATGGGCTTATTTGGTTATATATCTTTCAGGTATAAAGGAGGTCCTCCAATACAAAGGAAGATGATACGCCAAGGGTTTTATAGTAAGAGCTTTAGTGTGGAGGTTTATCCACTTTATCTTAAGTTGAGAGACAGTAGAGACGAAAGCACTACCATCATTAGGTTAAGCAAACAGGTATTGTACTGCCCTCTCGTACTACCTTGCATTCTAAATTTTAGGCTGTGAACAAACAATAACTTGCAATAAACGTAAACATTTGCTTTGCTTCCTTTTGTTGATGTACCAGGCTTCTATAGGTCAACTTTATGACATGGTTTGTGTTATAAGAGGAGTAGCAAAAGATAAGGTATTTGCTCAAAGCTCTATTCTTTTTCATTGTCTTAGGCGATGTATATATTGGTTGCTCGATATTTGTTTTGTGTAAGTAGGCTCGCATTTGGGGATACTTCGAAAACAAGAAAAACGTAATCTTGGATCCTTCATCTGCCAAAAGCTTGGAGGAATCGTGCCTTCAACCAAACCAGAATGTAAGTGTGTCTTGAAAACCCTTAGATAGATGCTTCTTGACATTAATGATCTATGTTTGGTCTCAATATTTTTGGTAAACTGTATTTTGTGCTTTTGATCTCTTAAATTTTCATTGAGGCTTTCTTTTATTTATCATAAACTAAGTAATTAAGTGTCTCATGCGTTACGTGGGTTTATAATTAATAAAAGTAAAAATTAGTTCTTACATATACATGAATCATGAAAACTAGATTGTAGTTAACTATTACATTCATGATTCATACAATGTATACATAATTTCTAGTTAAGTATATATTGATATATGCTTAAATGAGTTATCAAAATTGATTATTCTGTATTTCATATTACTTAAAAGTAGATATCTTTATATATATAGCTTCTAAGGAAAACATAATTAAGTTGGATAGAAAAAGAAAGGAAAACATAATTATTAGTTTATTACAAACTATTAATTAGACATGGTAGATCTTTTATAAATTGAATATGAAACTAGGATAACAAAATCATTTGGCTTTCTAATATCATTTTTTGATTTTATTAATTAAAAGTAGTTATCCGACCTCAAAAAACGAAATAGTTATGTAATACTAATAAAATCAATCATAACTATAATATTTCTTCTACAATAAAAGAAGCTTAGAAATTAATATTGAGAAAGTTTATTTCACGTAGTGAGTAGTTAGAATCATTAAAATTGATTAAACACAAATTTAATTGCATTAATTTATTTGCTCTATTTCACAAGCTTTGTGGAACCTTACAAGATATATTTGTTTGGCATTGATGTGTGCTTTTTATACAGATTCTTCTCGAAGTTGATGGTTCTACACCTTCTCAAATTGACATGAGCTTGGTCAAAAATAAACTATCATTAGTACCTATAGAGCCTACGAGTTCAGATGCTATGGATATTGAGCATGGTGGGGGAACAACATCATATGGTCACTCCAATGGTTCCAAGTATAGCCTCTTTGGGAGAAACACTTTGGAAGATGTTTTTTTCTCTAATACTTTTAGGGAAAGAGAGAGGAGAGGTTTAAGAGGATTGCAAAATTTGGGGAATACTTGCTTCATGAATAGCACTCTTCAATGTTTGGCGCATACACCACCTATTGTTGAGTATTTTATGCAAGATTACAGCTACGACATAAATGCCGAAAACCCTTTGGGAATGCATGTAAGAACTTGAGAGTTCATGTGGTTTTTGTTTCTTATATATCCCATTGTGAAGAGCCATTGACAAAGATCTAATGCAGGGTGAGCTTGCAATTGAATTTGGCAAACTTTTGAGGGGATTATGGTCGACTGGAGATAATACTATTGCGCCGGGCGCCTTTAAGACAAAGTTGGCTCGATTTGCTCCACAATTTAGTGGTTATAATCAGCATGATTCTCAAGTAATTCATGTTCTCCTTAATGTTTTTTTTTGTGCATCTTCATTCTTTATATTTTCTTATATGATAATTTAAACTCATTTTATCTAGGAAATGTTGGCTTTCCTATTGGACGGGCTACATGAAGACTTGAACAGGGTAAAAATAAAACCTTATATTGAAGCTAAAGAATCAGATGGTCATCAAGATGATGAAGTAGCTGAAGAAATGTGGAAATATCACAAGTCTCGAAATGACTCTGTGATAGTTGATGTCTACCAAGTAAGTATTTAGAAGTTATTGAATTTTCTTTGTCTGTTTAGACCAATTCTTATGATGTATGTGTTTTTCACTTCAGGGACAATACAAGTCAACACTGGTCTGTCCAAATTGTGAAAAAGTCTCACTCACCTTTGATCCATTCATGTACTTGTCTTTGCCGTTGCCAGCAAGTCTCTCTCGATCGATGACTGTTACAGTATTTTATTGCAATGGAAGCCGTCTTCCAATGCCATACACTGTAACAGTTCCGAGATATGGTACTTGTAAAGATCTAACTAATGCATTAGGCATTGCTTGCTGCTTGAAAAACGACGAAAGCCTTTTACTCGTAGAGGTCATAATTTTGGGATTCTATTTCTTATATGTTATCCTTACATCTTGTAAAAACAAGACTCAACTAAAACTTGATATTTATCCTTCCAGGTATTTGAGCACAAGGTATTTAAATATTTTGAGAATCCGATGGAGTTGCTAAGTAAGATAAAAGGCAATAACCAAATTGTCGCATATCGGTTCAACCAGATTCATAAAGGACCAGGACAAGTCAAACTTGAAATTATTCATGGGGAGCAAGAAAAGTTAGCTTCCTTATTTGGAACTCCCTTTGTCATTTATATCAACCAAGAACCACTTCTTGGAACTGAAATTGCTGCAAGCATTTCTAGATTGCTATCTCCCTTAACCCGAGTTCATATGCCATCTATATTTCCTAGTGGAAACAAGAATGGCCACAATCCATATATTGTAGATGAATCATCCAAAGACGCTAAAATAGAGGATAATGTAGTTGATGATAAAGAGTTATCATTCAACCTCTTATTGCTAGATCACCATTCTTCCGATCTCAAGCCGCTTGAGTCTTATTCCATTGTGAATCCTCATAGTGTTACAAAGGTTTTAGTCAAGTGGAACAAAATTAGCATGAAGAATATGATTCAGACTACTTGAATGATTTACCTATGGTTCATAAAAGAAATTTTTTGGCGAAGATGACAAGGCAAGAGGAAGTATCTTTGTTTTCATGTCTAGAATCATTTCTAGAAGAAGAGCCATTAGGACAAGATAATATGTGGTATTGTCCTGGTTGCAAAGAACATAGACAAGCGAATAAGAAGCTAGACTTGTGGAAGTTGCCAGATGTTCTTGTATTTCACCTGAAACGGTTCACGTACAAGACACATTTCAGAAAAAAGATTGATACATTAGTGAATTTTCCGATTCACGATCTGAATTTAAGCAAGTACGTGAAGAACAAAGACGGTCAAATATATCTTTACAACTTGTATGCCATTATCAATCATCATGGTGGTATGGGATATGGTCACTATACTGCTTACGTTAAGGTAAGTTTTTACTATTACTAACTTTGCGTTACAACTAATGACAAATACATGGAAACTAATGAGTGTGTGTGGATTTGTTTTGCTTATGCAGTTGATGGATGAGAACAAATGGTATCATTTTGATGATAGTCGTGTTTCAGCCGTGAATGAATCCGTGATCAAGACTTCGGCTGCTTACGTTTTGTTCTATCAAAGAGTGAAAAGTGTATTAGAGACATAAGTTGATTACTCAAAAACTTTAGAATTTATGACAAACTTTGTTATCATTTCCAAACATGTCTTGCTAGTTGCTAGCTATAGTTTGGTTTCGGCCATAAATTCAAATCTCTTACAACATTTGGTACATTTTTGAGAATGTCCAAATCTTTTTATTAAATAAGGTAATAATAATACAAAACATTAAGAAAAAGTTATTAACCAAAAAATGTGATCCTCACTAAGATAATATTTATTGATTGGGAATACATAAGTGAATTTTGAGTGTGAATCCTCAATGCTACATAAAGGTGCAAAATGAATCTCTAACATAACATATTATATGTAAAAAAAATAGCCGTGAAGATAGCTCAAGTAGTAGTAGTAGTAGTAGTAATCTCGAATTTGGAAGAATGCAAAAAGACTTTGGTGTAACAGCTTTTGCTTCTCTTAAGTGTTAAACTCAGTTTCGTGTAATCAAAGTAAGTGTCTCGCCAGTAATAATAATAACATACTCATCACCACCATTGACAATACTTCACCTTTCCCTTTTCTTTTCCCCTGCAATAATTTTCGCATAAAAGCATATCTTATCACTTCACATACACTCAATAGTAAAATTAAACATAGTTTAACCCCAAAAAGACAGAGATTTAAGCTAGATTAACCCTGAAAAAGAAAGATATCTAAACTTGATAGTCACACTACATAAATACTAGTTGGATTACAACAAAACTTGTAATCCTACGAATACTAATATTAAGCATTTGTAAAGTACTAAAAATGTTTTAGTGCATGACAACGTTTTTAACTTAAGGTTAAAAAATCGAATCTTATACTTTACTCTAAAAAAACAACTTTAACGAGAAAAGTAAAATTCGAAGAATCTTACCGTTACGGGAGCATAGGAAATAGCCAAATAGCCAGTTGATGCACTATCCGGAGCCACCGGAGAAACCGGTAGCACCGGCGTCTTTCCTCCTCCTCCGCTGCTACTACTATTCCCACCACCACCGCCACCACCACTAGCTCCTCTCACGACGTCGTTTAAAGTAAACCCAAGCGAATAAGCCTGAGTCCCATCAGGTTTAAACAACCCATAGTTCCTCTCAGAGGTCGGACCAGGTTTCAAGTTCTCATTAAAAAGGGCAAAAACGTAAATATTAAGATCGTTGCTAGGCTTCAAGGGTGTTTTAGTCTTTTTACCACTCATCATCAACTTAATCAAGTTCCCGTTATACCTCTTCGCGTTCTCCGGCGTAGCTCCGACCTCGTCTTCGTCACCTTTAGACGGCCAACCAGTCTCCGATATCTCAACTCTCAACGACTTATACCCCGCCGCCGCTAAAGCAGAGTACACGGCGTCGATCTGAGCGAAGAGCATGTTGTCGTAATGAAACCCGGTGGTCGGATCCACCACTCCTTGGTTCGGCTGAAACAGAACGAAGTCGAGAGGCACTTCTTTAGGGTTTCCTTTATAAGCGAAGAAAGGGTACGCGTTGATCAAGAACGGCGACTCTGTTTTCCGGTGGAAATCAAGAATCGGCGTGAGTGCATCCACCAGATCCGGCTGAAACTCTCCGGCGGAAGGCGGGAAAGACGTTTTGAGGATGGAGAGAGAGTGCGCGGTGGTGACGGAGATCTGACCGGAGAGACCGGCGGTGGTAAGAGCAGAGTGGACTCCTTGCATAGCAGGGAGGAGGTTAACGGTGAGAGATGAGTCGTTGAGAGCTAAGATCTCATTGCCTATAGTGATGCATGTGATGTTAGTCGCCGGCAAAAATGGTGTGACGTTTTGTTTGATCCATGTTAGGGCTTTTGATGGATCTTTCATCTTGGAGAGGTACTCGTTGCCTAGTCCGACGATGAACTCGATCCCTGTGTTGGCGAATGCTTTGAGGATTTGTGGGTTTGCGTCGTAGAGTTTTACTTTTGTTGCTCCGATTGATTTTATTAGTGGGATTACTTCGGACGGTGGTGGGAGGTTGTCTCCGATTTGGCCGTAGTTTACTCCGATTGATGTTATCGCCGTTGGGAATATAAACGTTACTGTGTGTATAATATATAGTTTTAGTAAAGGTTAGCAAAACGACGTCGTTGTTAGTGAAGTAGGATATAAAAAGTAAAGGAAGAAGTTACCTGAGAGGAGGAGGAATAAGATGGGAGAAGAGCGGTGGAAGATGTTAAGCTCCATTTGGATTCCCGGTGAGAATGCCGGTGGTTGTGGATTCCGGCGGAGAGGAGAGAGAGAGAGAGAGAAGTGTGTTAAGAAGACAATAGTTGCAGAGGTTTGTGTGTTTTATTAAACAGTGTAGGATGTTGTCAGAAGCTGAGCTTGTGTGTGTGTGATGTGAGTTTATGATTCGTTTTATCTTTTCACTTACTTTATTTATTAATATGTTTATAGAAATAAATAAATATATTGAATTATTGAACCTAAATATACGATTACAATTTTTTAAAGAGTTTTTCGATATGAACTTGCGTTGATAGCAAGACAAAATACATGTAATTTATAATAATAATATGAGAATGTAAAAGAAACGAATCTAGAGAGGAGTAAAGAAAAAGAAAAGGGAATGTATTAGAAAAAAGCTTCCTTCACATGGACGATTCATCCACTTATTATTCTGAAAAAACCTTAGAATTTTTTTAAAAATTTTTTAAAAAAAATAAATTTGTGGGAAACTGACAAAAATTTTTTTTTTTTTTTTTTTTCTGATAAATGGCTCTGATCTTTGCGTGGCGTTTGCACCGGCATAGGTCGGTCGGCTCTATTATTGTACAATTTTGCTTCTTCTACCTTAAGATATTTCTATATTTCTTTGTATTTTTGATTTGATTTTATTTTGTCGGAAGTAAGATATTTATTTGCTAATAAAAATATTGTTTTTATAGATAATCATTTTAGATTGATATTTTTTTTATTTTTGTGTTATATTTATTACATTTCGGATAATCATAAATAATATAGTAGTTGTTGGGTTCTTCTATTTAGGTAGAGAACATATTCTTCGATTAGCCTTCTTTGGTGTAGGCTGTCACTTTTGCTTACTTTACAGCTTTCACGTTCTTAGTTTCAACTCCCAAACTTTTCCCAACTAAATACTATATACTACTTCTTATATAACGGTAAGATTATTTCTTCTTTCTCGCATTAAACAAACACAACAACTAACAACAAGAAGCCTAAAGGCTAAAAAAGCCACATACCATTTCAAGATTCTAAGAGAAAGGTGCAAGATCATCAAGATCAGCTTAAGTCTTCTTCTTCGCTTCTGATGCAGCTTCATCTTTCTTTGCATCTTCATCTTCAACTATCTTCTCCGCTACTTAATTTTGACTCTTCTGTAGTCTCCTCCTCCATATCACTATCACCTTCTGTAAGAATTAAAACATCTCATCACTAAACCAATCTTGATCCTCAAATGTACTCAATACAAAAACTTAATTCCATTTCTCAACAGAGCACCAAATCAAGATCCTATTATACATGTCCAAATCCTTACCTTCATCTTCAATACCCTCAGTGTCTCCCATGTTTAGACTCTTAAAACAAACAAAACAACAACAATACATTAGTTTCCTTTCTTATTGATACTTTTACATATCTTTCAAGCAAAATGATCGATCTTACATTGAAATCAAAATCTCCAAAGTCCATATCTCCTGCTAGTAAATAATCAAAGAGTCAGCTAAGTCAAGATAACTATAAGCTCTTTCACGGCAATTAACTAATCATTCTCATACCTTTATCTTCGTCATCTTCATCAACCCATTTATCCCAATCAACTTTCAAGTACACAGGAGGTTTCCCTTCTTGTTTAATCAATCTGTTCCACCATTTGCTCTCAGCTTTCTTCACCATGTAACATATACACCTCGAGCTCACTCGCCTTGCTCTCCTACCAATCCAAATGTGATTACAAAAAAATACTTAAAAGGACAATCAAAGCCAAGCTTTATACTTACATTCACATCAACATTGTCGAACAGATCAAGTTCCAACTCGTACGGTGTCTTACTAGCTCCACTCGTAGCATAGAAAAAGAACTTGCCTTGTGGCTCAAGCTTCATATTTACCTCTTCAGCATCTGGCAATTCCAACGTTACGTAACCTTATCAGACCTTTGCGCCCACTTCACCGTTGGATTTCTCATTATTCAACAAGAAACAGAGTACCAAAGATACAAATTGTTCTAGAGAAGACAAATGTGTTGTGTAAAAATTATACAGACCAAAAGCTCTCTAGATACTTCTGTTGTGTTCTAGAGAGGTAAACAAAATGCAAAAATTTTATGGACATCTACAGAGGAGAACAAAGGCCCAGTTTTGAATAGGCCCATATTATTACTAAAAGCGCGTGCATCTCACGCTTTCTCCAAATCAGACACTTATCCTACGTGTCATCTCTCAAATCCAAACCTTCCTCTCCAAGCAAAAAATACCCCAATTAAATTAAATGAAAAAGTTACAAAAAATACGACCTGTCTTTTCATTTTGGGTACAAAAATCTAAACTTTTTAGGTTTTTTCTTTCTTTCTTATAATTCTCTGTGATAGAGAGAGACGAAGTGATGATGGACTTGACGGGTGAGAACGGAGGTTTAGCTCCAGGTTTTAGGTTTCATCCGACGGATGAGGAGCTTGTTGTGTATTATCTCAAGAGAAAGATCCGTCGGAAAAAGCTCAGAGTCGAAGCAATCGGCGAGACTGATGTCTACAAGTTTGATCCTGAGGAATTGCCTGGTACCTCTCTTTCATTTTCAATCTTCTTCTTCCTTCAATTCCTTCAAATTTACTTGCTTTCTCCTTCTTTGGGGTCGATTTGCTCTGTATTCGATGAGTTCATAGTTCAAGAATCTTAATTTTATGACCCACAATGCGATTTATAGGTTTTGTTCATTGATTGGTATATGTATATATGGTCGATGATGGCTCTAAAGGTTTGATTTTTATTAGCTTCTGACTCGAAAAATTGAATCTTTTTTATGTAGAGAAAGCGTTGCATAAGACTAGGGATCGCCAATGGTTCTTTTTCAGCTTGAGGGATAGGAAACATGGGAGTAGATCAAGTAGAGCTACTGACCGTGGCTATTGGAAAGCAACAGGGAAAGATAGAGTCATTAAGTGTGATTCTAGACCGGTTGGGGAGAAGAAGACACTTGTTTTCCATAGAGGCAGGGCACCTAATGGCGAGCGGACTAATTGGGTCATGCACGAGTACACTATGCACGAAGAGGAACTCAAGAGGTGTGGTGGCGGAGATGTTAAGGATGCTTATGTTCTTTACAAGATTTATAAGAAAAGTGGGTCTGGTCCTAAGAATGGTGAGCAATATGGAGCTCCTTTTATTGAAGAAGAATGGGTTGAAGAGGGTGATGAGGTTGATGAGCCTGTTGATGTAGTTCATGTTCCTGCAAATCAGGTTATTGTTTCAGATGGTGTTGATAGTAATTTGTGGTCGAAGGGGCTTAACCAATCTCAGTTGGATGATAATGATATTGAGGAGCTGATGAGACAGGTTAGCGATCAGCCTGGTCCAACCGTGCAGCTGAATGGGGTTTCCGGACTGGACTCTCATGTCGAATCGTATAATCTGGTGAACCTGGAAAAGGATATGTATTTGGAAATTGATGATCTTTTGCTCCCTGAACCTGAACCAACTTCTGTGGAAGCCATGCAGAAGGACTGGAACCAGGATAGTTCTGGTGTCCTGAATGATAATGATTTCGTTGATGCCGATTCATATTTCTGTGATTTGGGTGCGAGAAATCTTGAGCCAGATCCTGTCAGTGGTCATTTCGAAAACGGGTTTGAACAAAGCCTTCTGATGAATACTTCTTTGGTCACTGACCAGGCTAATAATAACCAGTTCCCGCAGCATACAAGGAAGAATCAAGCTAGCAACTGGCCACTCCGTAACAGCTATACCAGAAAGATGAACAGTGGATCATCTTTGATGCAGGAGCCAAACAATGACAGACTCACTGCTGCCCGGTTTGTTGAGGTGCCTGGTACAGGTACTTAAAAACATTAACAGATTCCTAAATACCTCTGTTTCACTTGCATACTAAAATGTTATCTTATTGTGGTAAAAGCCACTGGCTTCTCGGTTAATTAGAGCTCATCTTACATGGATGTTTTAAACCATCTAATGGGGATATGAGGCCATCCTAGATATTTTATGTACCCATCTTTCGATTCCTCATATGTAGGCCAATTTTCCTAATCATATTCTCTTGGCAGGTGATCCATCTAAATTCACAAACCCTCTTCCTTCTGGTACAAGTATAACTAAGGAAGATGAAGCAGCAAAAGACGAGTCAAGTCAGTTTGCTTCTAGTCTATGGGCTTTCCTGGAATCGGTTCCTGCAAATCCAGCATATGCTTCAGAGAACCCATTTGTTAAACTGAACCTTGTCAGAATGTCCAACAGTGGCGGTCTTTTCAGGTTTGCTTCTAAAAGTAATGCTGTTGTCATGGCTAGTGATTCAGCTGTGAACAGGAAAAAGTCTGGAGGAAAAACCGACAAGAAGAACAACAAGAGCAAGGGTTTCTTCTGCTTGTCGATCATTGGGGCTCTATGTGCTTTATTTTGGGTGATCATAGGAACAATGGGACTTTCAGGGAGGTCTCTGTTGTGGTGAAAACCCAAAATTACATACAAGAGGTTTGAATGAAGGTTAAGAGAAAGAAAGGCTCTGTTTTGTGTAAGACATTACCGAGTCAAGTCATTGTAATTATTCTCTTACACTGTTAGATTCATAAGCTGTTGTTTAGTATCAGTTTTTCTCATGGGAGTTTTCTCACCTACTGTTAAATCTAACTTTATGGGTAATTTTTCTTTGTTTTGTATCAATATATATATAATGCTTCATGATCTTCAATATGATTTTTTTTTATTAATTACTATCTAGATCCAGATTAAGCCTTTATTGTGAATGATAATTTAGACCACTAATTACGTCAACTTGTCTTCCTCAGGTTAGTTTTTTTATATAACCAAATAAAAACACGTTTAAGAAGAAATAAAAAAGGCAGAGAGAAAAGGAAATGAGATCTTAAGATTTTGATTCTTGAAGATCTCGAGTCGACCTCCTTGTATTAATAGCTTCCCACTTGCTTTCAGTACTCAAACAAGACAACAACATGAACTCTTGTTCCTTCACTCTCTTCACCTTTGCTACGATTATCTTTCTCCAATGTTTAAGTTCCTTCGAAGCTGCAAGGTGTCATCCTGATGACGAGGCGGGTCTTTTAGCTTTCAAAGCTGGTATAACCCAAGATCCTTCCGGCCTTCTCAGCTCCTGGAAGAAAAATACTTCTTGCTGTGCCTGGAATGGTATCACATGCGGCCCGAGTGAGCGGGTAGTAACACTCGATATCGCTGGAGAGGCCGTTTATAACAAAAACTACCTCCCCAGCACTATCTCGCCGTTGCTTGCCAAAGTGAAGTACCTTGACTCGATTTACATCTTTCAACGAAAGTTCACCGGTTCGTTTCCTCAACTCCTTTTCAAATTACCACATCTACGTGTGGTTTATTTGATTAATACCGGTCTCTCCGGTCCTCTTCCGGCCAACATCGGTGCGTTAAGCCAGTTGGTAGCGTTGAATCTTGAGGGAAACCACTTCACCGGTCCGATCCCTAGCTCGATGTCTAATATGACTCGGTTAACTGGGCTAAAACTTGGTGGCAACCGCCTCTCTGGAACCATTCCAAATATTTTCAAGTCCATGAGGAGCCTCGAGACTCTTGACCTCTCCCGCAATAGATTGTCCGGGAAACTTCCAATGTCCGTTGCAAACCTTGCATCGACTCTCAAAGAGCTCATACTAAGCCAGAACAATCTAACAGGGACGATCCCAAACGATTTCTCGAAGTTGAAGGCTCTCAACACTATGGATCTCTCACAAAATCGATTATCTGGCGTCGTCCCAATGAGTTTGGCCAAGCTGACGGAACTAACCACTCTCCATCTCTCCCACAATCTTCTAACTGATCCATTCCCTGCCTTAAATAACACTATTGGTGGCATTGCATCTCTGGATCTATCATACAACAAATTTCATCTAAAAACAATTCCGGAATGGGTGACCTCCTCGACGTTCAAGAGCGTGTTGAAGCTAGCAAAATGCGGGATCAAGATAAGCTTTGACGACTTGAAGCCGGTGCAACTCAACGGATATGGATACATTGACCTATCGGAAAACGAGATCTCAGGAAACCCCGCATCGTTCTTGAATCAAAAGGATGACCTTTTGCTAGAGTTCCGTGCGTCGGGGAATAAACTCCGATTCGACATGGGGAAGCTGGATTTTAACAAGGCCCTAAAAGTCCTGGATCTTTCAAGGAACTTGATATTTGGCGAGGTGCCTAAGGCAGTGGTAGGACTAAAGAAATTGAACCTTAGTCAAAACCATCTATGCGGAAAGCTTCCTACTACAAAGTTTCCCGCAAGCGCTTTTGCAGGCAACGATTGTCTTTGCGGTTCTCCACTTCCTCCTTGTAAAGCTATAAATTAATTATAATTCTGTATTTTGATTTACCATGACATGCACGTAAATTCAAACAAGATTTGTAATAATAAAACTAATTAAAGTATGTTTTAAGACACGAAATCTCAAAATTTTACCCATGAAAGTAGTATTTACTTCATCACTAAAGTTTGCCTTTGTTCGATGGTACCACAAGGTTTATTCTACGGCTTACATTCCAAGCACTGTTCACTCAATTTGGTTTGAACGTAATAAACGTCGACATGGTGAGCTGAGCTCCCAAGTACAGAGAGTTGATCAAGTTCATCGATCGGCTCATTCTCAATTAAATATCCTCTATAAAAAACTCGAATCCTCCTTATAAATATAACTACTCTACGGTTCTTTTTATTTTTTCATTCAAATCAACTATCAAGATAAGGATACATATATTGTAACAAGGGTTTTTTTTTGTTAAATAACTGTAACATTCATTTAAGAAAAAGAAAAAAGAAAAGTTTAGCTTTGTTTTCTACTAGTGAATGTTGGTAAAAATTTGTACTATGTGCTTTTGTAACATAATTTCCATAACCCACATAGTCCTCGGTAATAATACCGAACCCGAAAAATCGATCTGAACCCGATCCGAACCCATACCAGAAATCTAGAAATATTCAAACGGGTTCTATATCTATAAACCTGAAAACTCGAACCCAATCCAAACGGATACCCGAATGCACCCACAATATAATTACATAATGTAGTAATAATATAATGTCAAAATTATTCAGTTTTTTTTTGTATATTTTGGATTTTTTAAAAGTTATAAACCCTTTTCTAAGTAAATGTTTGTCAAAATTATATAAGTTTTGAGATTTTTTACTAGTTTGAACATATTTGGATCCTCAAATTTTGAATTTTGAAAAATACTCGAACGGGTTCTATATCTCTAAACATGAAAACCCAAAAACTCGAAATATCCGAACCGAAGCCGAACGGATACCCAAACACCCAAGCCTACACCCACAGATATAACGACAAGATAAATAAATAAATAAAACGTTCTATATAAGAGGATTTCATCCGGTCTTTTTCGGATCCTAGAAGGATTACGGACTTCAGTCTCGAAGTTAAAAAACAAAAAAAACGTTCTATCTAGCTACCGGTATATATGATCCTCGATGAACCGAGACATCTATGGGCGGAACTAATCACATCATGAATATCTCTAAATTTATGTACATTCAAATCTCGATACCTAGCTACTTCCGCTACGTTACATCATAACCCACAATAGAAATTAGCAGAGAAGTTTCCATGACACATACATGATGCCTTGACTAGAGGCTCACGTGTAATAACCTGAAAGAGACAGAAGAAGAGGTTAATGTTATATCGCCTAAAAGACTACACAAACTAGTTAAATAGGAAACCAAACTAACATGTCTCACGTGATCAATTAGTTAATGTTAATTAACATGAAGCTATAGCCACTAATACAATAATCCAACTTGTCTGGTCAAAATAATGCTTCATTTTTGATGAACGTGTTGGACGTATCTGTTAATAGAGATATTAAACACTCTTGGATATGATTTTTTTAATTCGTTACAACAAAAAACACGTTTGATGAGAAATAGAAAATGAAACGAAAACCTAAAATTTTGATTCTCGTAGATCTCGAGTACACTCTCCTTTGTACTATTAATAGCTTACCAAATACCAATCGCTTTCACACAATACAACACAACACAACACAACACAACAACATGAAGTCTTGTTCTTTCACTCTTTTCACCTTTATTGCCATTATCTTTCTTGGGTGTTTAAGTTCCACTGGAGCTGCCACATGCCATCCTGACGACGAGGCGGGTCTTTTAGCTTTCAAAGCAAGTATAACCCGAGATCCTACGGGTTTTCTCAGCTCATGGAAGAAAGGTACTTCTTGCTGTGCCTGGAACGGTATCGAATGTGGCAAGAGTGAGCGCGTTGTCGTCCTCAATATCTTCCGAACATCCGGTCATTACAAAGACTACCTCTCAGGCACTATCTCCCCGTCCCTGGCCAAACTCCAGCACCTCGAGTCGATATACTTCATCTTTCAACGAAAGCTCACCGGTTCTTTCCCTCAATTCATCTTCAAATTACCACATTTACGTGCATTTTATTTGGTAAATACTGGTCTCTCCGGTCCTCTTCCTGCCAACATCGGTACGCTACGCCAACTCGAAACGTTAAATCTTGAGGGAAACTACTTCACCGGTCCCATCCCCCGTTCCATATCTAATATGACTCAGTTAAATGCGGTAAAGCTTCGTGGCAACCGCTTCTCTGGAACCATCCCAAATATTTTCAAATCCATGACGAGCCTCCAAATTCTTGATCTCTCCCGCAACAGATTATCGGGGAAACTTCCTTCGTCCATTGCAACCCTCGCACCGACTCTCAGACACCTCATACTGAACGAGAACAATCTATCCGGAACGATCCCAAATGATTTATCGAAGTTGAAGGCCCTCAACGCTTTGGATCTCTCAAGAAATCGGTTCTCTGGGGTTGTGCCAATGAGTTTTGCCAATCTGACGGCACTTACCTCCATCTATCTCTCTCATAATCTTTTAACCGATCCATTCCCTGTGTTAAATAATATTATAGGTGGCATGGACACTCTCGATCTATCATACAACAAATTTCACCTAAAAACAATTCCAGAATGGATGACATTGTCGACGTACAAAAATGCATTGAAGCTGGCAAAATGCGGGATCAAGATGAGCTTTGAAGACTTAAAGCCGGTACAACTCAACGGATATGCATACATTGACCTATCGGAAAACGAAATCTCAGGAAGCCCTGCATCGTTCTTGAACCAAAAGGATGACCTTTTGCTAGAGTTCCGTGCTTCGGGGAATAAACTCCGATTCGACATGGGGAAGCTGAATTTTAACAAGGCACTAAAAGTCTTGGATCTGTCAAGGAACTTGATTTTTGGGGAAGTTCCCAAGTCGGTTGTTGGACTAAAGAAACTGAACCTTAGTCAGAACCATCTATGCGGAAAGCTTCCTACTACAAAGTTTCCCGCAAGCGCTTTTGCCGGCAACGACTGTCTTTGCGGCTCTCCACTTCCTCCTTGCAAATCTAAGGCAATATAGAGTAACTACAAGTTTGTATCCTGCTTTACCTTGACACGACAATTCAAATAAAACCTAAGTATCTCTTAAGATCCGAAAGCTCTAGAATGAAAATAGTTTTTCAAACCCTTAACGCAATATGTTCCATACACTTGAAATATAACAAAAGGAAACAAAATACTCTGTGAAATAATTAAGAAACAAAGAACTGATCACTATGCATTATAAAAATTTAACTTCTGCATTAGCGTTCCAAATAATATTTCTTCATATTCATCGACCACATGACCTATGTATCTACAAAACTAAATGACCATGGCATGTTTCTTGCACCATAATTTACACCAGGGATGATCTCAAATATTTTTATGTATGCATCATTTGATAGGTGCACCTGAATTCATAAACACTTCAACTTAGTTTGCTACCTAAACTATGGTAGTACAATGACAACAAAGTATGTATAGAGAAAAACTTGTGCTAGATTTTGGTAGACAAGTTTTGACAGACTAAACACACAAGCTTTGATGAATTAGCAAACCATGGTAGTTTTAGTTTCTAATACCACTATGTGAAACAGAAGATTTTATTATTATATTAGAGACTCTAACATTACCCATATACAGTAGTAGTACATTACTTCTCCTCGACCTTCCCTACTCCTAACTTCTCCATTCCAAAGCTTTCTTCCAACACTTTGACACAAACAAAAATCACATTCTCACGGGGTCGCTACGTTCTCCTTAGCCAGAGGAGCTATCTCTTCACCCTCGATTCCGGCTTCACTTCCAGCCACATTAAGGGACAGTAGTACCTTCTCCCACAACCTTGCAGGTCCCTGAATCACATCAAAATCAAGATTGGTTTCAACAACAGCTTAACAAAAACAAAAGTTTCAAACTTTAGAATGAATTGAATCACTAACCTTCCAGGAGAAGTCTTGGTCCATGCAGTTCTTGACCATCTCTTTCATTGCGGATGTTCCATACACTGCAACGGCTCTTGTCACAGCCTTTGCTGTTGCAATCACATCTTCTGGATCCACAACTTCACACTGTAAACAAAGCAAATTCATAACTCATTTGAGATTTATTTGTTGTAATGTCAGAAAGAAAATGTTATAGAAATTAGCGAGAAAGAGTTACCTTGACGTTGAATCTTCCAATGTGGAAACCTGTGTAGCCATCTTTAACAGTGTCCACTAGCCCACCAGTAGATGCCACAATAGGTACGGTTCCATATCTCATGGCGTGCAGCTGAATGAGACCGCACGGCTCAAACCTGCTCGGGACAATGATGAAGTCAGCTCCAGCAGTGATCATATGAGCCAATGGCACGTTGAATTTCGCCACTCCAACCGCCTTCCCTGGGAATTTCTCTTCCAGTTCCAGAATCTGAGCCTCCATCTTCTTCTTACCAGTTCCCTATAAAACAATTCAGGCAAGACTCAATAAGTTAATGATCGTTAAAGAAGTCATGACCACAAGTCCACTGCTTATATGTGCTCACAAGGATAACCATCTGAACATTAAGCCCCATGAACTTGGAAATAGCTTCCACTAGAATATCAGAGCCCTTCTGCTCCTCTAACCTCCCTATAAAACCGATAACCGGGACATCCCTGTCTATTGGAAGTCCAACAGCAGCCTGAAGAGCTTCTTTGATCAATGGCTTAGCATCTGTAACCTGTAAAAACAATGTAACAAGATCGGTAAGGATGTCCAGCAACTTCTTCTATTCCAATGCACTGATCTTTAAGATAAATCTTACAGTGGTAATATCATATTTGATATCGATGTACTTGTCCGTGGACGGGTTCCATTCTTGAACATCCATTCCGTTAATAATTCCGGAAACTGTTTTCATTCTAAGGTATGTATGCAGTTCCACGCCTCTATCTATTCCAGAGATGAGTTCTTGAGCGTAGTATGGACTAACTGTTAAGACACGGTCAGCTTCAAGAATTGCAGCCTTCATCCAGTTAATTTTCCGTCCTTTCACGGGCTTTTCGTACCTGAAAATGGCACACATAAGTTTATGTAAAGGACTGAAACACATGTTACGAATAAGGTAGTGATCTATTGTTTCTGAGAAATCTTTTGTAGAAATCAGTACCCGTCCATAAAGTCGAACGAACTTTTAAAACTGGTGGGCAAATTGAGAAGAGAGTAGTCATCAAAGGCAAATCTTCCCTGGTAGGCTATGTTGTGAATGCAGAAGACAACCTAAAAAAGTAAACACACGGCATTTGGTAAAGTATGAAAGCTAGAGTCTTAGTTCAAGATTTTAAACTGGATAGCTAAATAACATGATGAAGGAACACTAGTTCTATATACAATACCTTTGCATTCATGTAGACTCCACGAGATTGATACATAGATTTGAGGTAACATGGAAGAAGAGCTGTGTGCCAGTCATTGGCAACAAAGACCACATCTTCACCTACAACATCAAAGAGATACGATTTGAAACTTTTTCAGAAAATTGGAGATTTTATACAGTACTCAGAAATCTTGTTAAAAGAATTGGGAAATCATTTTCTCACCATATGGTCCAGAGAAATATTTGTTGCTGTTCAGGTTCAGAACCTGTGGTGCCTCAAGAGCAGCCTACCAAAGATCAAATGTAAATCAAGTTAACACATATATGTTATTCAAACACAGATTCTGCGTTATCTATGAACATAATCTCTATAGGCTACATGTTTCAATCAAATGAGAATCATAAACAACACAACTGTGAGAGTAAGAGTACAACTACAGAAGTCAAAGGAAGAGAGTGTTACCTGACACAACAAACTGAACCTTAGTTGGTTGTCATTGTAGTCAACTCCAGTTATAGGACCATAGATTTTGGATCCTGTTTTGCCCACAACCTGCATTATTATTATTCCTCATGAGCTCACCAAAGTACAATACACATACCTTGTGATTACTTAACCAATATAAACAAAACCTTAGCAAGAAAGATTGGATGATCAACAAAGACACGATCAACTCCACGTTTGTAGCAATGAAAGAAACGAACATTCTCAACTTTGTCCCCAATTTGGATCTGCATCAAAAATAAACATTACAAGATGACTTAAACTAAGCAATCATTTGAATTAAGAAGCATAATATTCAACAAGGATCCATACCATACAGAGCAAAAGAGTACCTGAACCACAACACAAGTGTCCCAAGCATCTTTATATTGGTCATACCGAGGGCAGATCGTCATCACACGATGGCCTCTAGCCTAAAAAAAAAACCATATCAATAAGTTCATGGAAAAAACGAAAGACAAGACTTAATCAAGCTAATGATGAGGACATGAACTTACAGCCAGAGCAGGAGGTAGACCACCTAGGACATCACCAAGACCACCAGTTTTGCTCCATGGACCAACCTCAGCTCCAATGAAAACCAAAGACATCCCTTTCTCACACACAATCTTAGCTTTAGGAGCCTTCTTCTTAGCGGAAACAGGTTTAGCTTGAGATCTCCTCTGAAGCCTATCCACCAAGTTGAAAGACCTTAACCCACAGTGAGTCATGGATTGACCTTTCAAGGTGATCTGAGACAGATCAGAGCCTGAAGAAACCCCATTGTTGTTGAAAAGTGAAGTCCTTGACACAAAGTGAGAAGAAGCAGTCACAGTTGCCATCGTGAGAAGAGACCCTTTTGCCTGGATTCAACACAATAGGTAATCAAAATAGTCAAAAAAATCGATACTTTAAATAGAAATGTTAGAACTTTTTCATGATTAAAGCTCGCACAGAAGCTAAATGGAGGAGAGGAGAGTGATGAGGGAGAAGAATGGTTTACTCTGTTTATGTATGTACAAGAGTGGAAGAGGAGGCTTGGAACTTGGAGTGACACGTGGCGTTAATGTAGTAGTAGTTCAGTGGCGATCAATGGCATTGGCCCGAGGCTAAAGTAATCGACGGCTGAGATTTGTGGAAAACTGGGGCACAAGTGTTGTTGTTTTTTTTGTCGTCATGCTCTTTTTTGTCGTAAAAGATTTCACGGTCGAGAATTTTTGTTCGTGTTTCTAATTTTTTCTTTTTGTACAAAAACGATTTTAGATTTGATGAGTAGTTTTGGAAACAAATAAGATTTTAACAATGAAAATATTGAACTAAATTATTTCAAGATTTCTGTTTTTCTTGTTTTTTTTTTTTTAAATAAAAATCGAAGATTGATGATATATAATCAGTCAAATTTTGTTTTTGTTTTTTTTTTAATTTGTGCTTCATTAAAATGTTATAAAAATTTGTATGAACATTATTACGGTTACTATGTTTGATCTAGAATTACAAAGATATATATAACAAATATATGGTAATTAACGACTATAGTACAAATCATTTATATTACAAAGAATATATCGTTTTAGTTCAATAAATTTTGAATATTTTGTAGGTTTTTCACTTCTCTCTTCTTGTTGTAATTTTGTAGTTAAGAGTAAAATTTTATTTCATAAAACTAGTAAACGTTATTATTTTTACAAATCCATCTTTTTTTTTTCCTTTTGTTTACTCTTTCTTCTTTAATTCCTCACAAAGCCCACACTAGAGTATTTTGTTTTACCAAATCGTGTAATTAAAGACGAGTCAGTGTCATGATTAATAACATTTTGGTTATTGTGGACGGTTAGGAGTGATTTGTCGCAGCATAGTAGATCGTGTGAGGATGTTGCAATTTCTCCAAGAGAGCTTCACGCATCCACATGAACATTGCCCTTTGGGTTTCACTTTCTCTATTATTTAGAAACTCGCATTTTCGAAAATTATCTGTATATTCACCATAATATTTATACTATCTCAACTTGCATCATATTTGCACTGTTTTACATGTAGTTGATATGTTCTTTGCTAAGTGAATTCTTGCTGTTATTGAAATTAATTATCTGTTATTGAGCTTATCTTTTCTATATTTTCGTTCTATATTTTCTAACAAAAATATAAAGACATATCCCTAAGCCAACAACAAAGAGGCTCAAAGCTATACCTCCACCTACAATGGTTATGAAACAAATTAATTTCGCTCAAATGTATCTTACAGTTATAGTTATTAAATAATGTATATTAATTCAAGATATAATTTTCTTACCAAGGAAAATATATTAAATAATGTGTATTAATTCGAGATATAATTTCCTTACCAAGAAAAAATATACAAACGGACTATTCAAATCCCACATCACCAATTGTAATTACACTAGTCTATTATTGATTTATGAGTATTAATTGTTTTTTTAAATTAGAGGATAGACCCCAAAAAACCTTACTTTTAAAACATGTTTTTATTTACACCAACTACACAAATTATGTTTAACAAACTAATTAAACTATCCCATGGCTCCACTGGTCTCAGACTTTTTCCTTGTAATTTATGAAGTTAACTAAGTCAAGGTAAAATTTAGCAACCTATTAGGTCAACATTATTGGGAGGATTTAAGGGTAAGATTTACCAAAGAGAATATGTTATATAAGATACTTTTTTTTAGTAAATTTTACCCTTAAATCCTCCAAATAATGTTGCTTTTAGCCAAAAACTCTATAAAATTTACCCCGTTCAATAATATATACATATATATATATTCGATTGTAGATTAAAAAAATATTCTAATCGGTCAAATACAATATAAGCACATAAAAATACTAAGAAAAGTCATTGACCTCTTTCTTTTATAACTATGTAGATACAAATTAATTATTTTTTGTATTTGTATAATGTATATAGTTAATACTTTTAAACATTTGATATATATATCTTGCAAATATATATCTTTGAATAACAGTCTTTTTAAAACTCATTCATGCACATTTACCATTAAAGTTATTATACACTCAAAAAACAGTGTACACATTTCTTTTTAATAAAATCTGAGCATTTTACAGTGATTCAAGTCATTTTTTAACTCTTTTAAACCAAAACATAGCGTCCAATTGTAAATAATGCGTTCCAATTACTGTATATTTAACATTTTTCATTTCACTTGTAGTATTATATCGTACTGAATTTTACATTTTCAATTTCATAACTGTTTTCTATTTTTAAAGATAAGTTTAATATTCATTTTTTCTCTATCAACAAAACAGTCAATATATCATCAATAACTTTTTTTTTTTTTTTGGGTAGTGATCATCATTAACTACTAGATTCGGACCCGCGCTACAGCGCGGGGGAAAATTGTCTGGTTTTGTTTTTTGTTTTTTTCTTTCAAATGTCGATTGTAAAATTTGATGTTTTATTTTAAGTATGTAATTGTGTTGGGTTGGAAAATTTAACGTTTAAAATAGAATATGATAGCGTGGTTCCCGTATGAGCTTAATTTTCCGATGTTTTGAAAATGGCATTTGGGGATAAAAGATTGTTGGTGTTATACAATTGAAACATTTATTAAGTTAATGTGGGTTTAATAAAGTTTATATACTCAAGTTAGTAACTAATTGTATGTAATATTTATAACATTATTAAGCTAAACTGTTATTTAGCTAAGTAATATTGATGAAGTATGTGTTTATATTTCTAAATTGAACCTTTAGTAGGTTTGTATCATCATGTTGACAACAATTTATATTTTTGTTCATGTTTACTTTTTTTTACCAATATTAACGATGGCTTCTCAAATCCTTATTACGGAAACACTAATAAATTAATATTGCCTAAATCCACATTTTATAATATAAAAGTTTAGGTTTTGTTGACAATTATGAAGCCTTTTTGTTTTCCATAATAAGAACAATTAATAATAACTGTGGGCTTTTGGCCCATTACTGAATTTTAGTGGATGATGTTTACCCAATTTATTTATTTTTTTCAATCAAAATTGTCTTGCAGTCAGATTTTGTCGTTATTGAAATCGAAATTTAGGAAAATCTTGGTTCGTAATTCTAGGAGATACGAAAAAGTTGTTATATTATTCACTTAGTTACTATATCATACTCAATGTTGTTGAAATTACGCTTTAATGCGTAATAATTATTGAAGGAAAGATATTATGAATATTCGTATAGTTGTTAGGTAAAGTTCTTGGAATATTCTGTTTTTTGGTATATTGAAAACGCACGAGACAGAGAAGTCGCTAGTATAACTATCTAAGGCCAAGAAGAAGGCCCAAAACATTATTAGCTTTTAATGTCCGATTAATATAGCAATAACTTCCGTTCAAATTTTATTGAGAAGATCCGATTTGGAAGTCGGATTTTTTTTTTAAAACCGACCCGAGAGAGTATTTGTACTTCTCTTTTACTATAGTAGGGATTTTATCACTCAAAATAGTCGAGCATTCAATATCTTATTATCCAAATAGTTATAAGGAATCTATATATTATTAACTAAGCAAAAATATTCAAGCACTCAAGATGTTTAATAAAAGTTTTTCCACAATTACTAGGCACTATATAATTTCGCCTAGTGTTAAAAAATGGAAATAAATAGAGTTACTGGATTTACCTATATAAGTTACGAGAGCTTTATAACTCGGTTTGCACTCATATGAACCCGGAATATTGTGACAAATTTCGCCGCTTTTAGTACAAAGGTCGAGACGTCGTCCATCATCTTGGAGCTTTTTACACTCATCAACATCTAGATCATGATAATAAAATTCAACATGAAGTTAGTAAGATGATGATATATGCTCTTAAATCTAATTTAATTATATGCATGGTAGAGATGATTTGAGGATAGGACCTTTGCACCCGTTTGGAGTGTAAGGGTTGCCCTCGTAACCATTGGTACAAGCACAACTTAGGTAGCTGTACTCAACAAAGTGCACCACGTCGCAGTAGCAAGGCTTAGAGTAAAAATCGTCGTCAAAGTTTTGGCCGCACACCAAGGATTCTTCAAACGAAGGATGAGACGCCAAAACTTGCCACTTTAGCTGGATTGTAGCATATTTCCCAGCGTGAAGCCTTGACGAATCAGTTCTATTGGGCCACAATGAGGGTTGGTCATACTCATCGGTTAAGAATGCTACATTGCACTCTTGTCTTGTTTCGTTACCATAAGCGCTCTCTATTTTCACACCAATTAATCGACCGACGTCTGCGGGTGTACGTGCATTGCAACATTTGAAACCGCCATAGCAGCTTGATTTTTTTAGGAACTGTGGCAGCTCAAGACTTGGATCACAAGAGGAGATGCATCCAACAATACTCGGTTCAACATTCGTAAGTGTGGCCTTGCTGTTGCACCCGAACGCCACAAGTGTGTTGTCTTCACTGATGGAAAAGGGTGTTCCCGTGAAATTTAAAACCTCTTCCAAGTTGTGTCCATTGCCGCCTGAACACCCCATGGAAGTAATATTAGCTTTGACACGGATCAAACCATAAGGATGTGACCCGTTATTTACTGGTTCCGGAAGGTCGATTCGCACAACTTCTTTTTGGATCGTAGTCAGAAACGGGACGGAGGAATTATGGATGCATCGGATCTCATACCAGTCGTTGAGGTAGCAATCTTTTCCGATGCCAAAAGGGTACGGTATCGAGATATTCCCACAGTGGCTAGGACAGGAACTCGAGATCGTTAGCTCTGGTGCAGAACTAGTAATAAACACAAGTAGAAGAACACACAAATGAATCCAGAAAACACACCTCATTTTCTTTTTGTGTTTTGCTTTTCTCTGTTTCGCTCTTTCGTTCACTCTATACAACTCTTCCTCTATATATGTGGTGAGTTATTTAAAGAGATCGAACATCCCGGTTATTTAAAGAGATCGAACATCCCATGAAGTGAAATGAAAATTTAATGTACGTGGAAAATTGGCCCGACGACATGCATGATACAACATATCGAACACTACGGAGGCAGGAGTAGGAGTATGGTTTCCTCAAAACCTAGTAGCATGGCATTGCTCTCTTACTTTATGACATATACAAAAGCCATTTAGCCTGAATAATTTCTTGTTGAATTCAAACTAAAATCTAGAAATATAAGTTGTTAATTAACACTAAAGTAAAAATAATAATAAATAATAATAATCACTTGTTATTAACGAGAAATAATAACCTAGCTTTTCACCCGGTGATGGCATATGAAGTGGTAGAAACTTTTACTTTGCTGTTACAAATTAAATAAGGGAGAATTCAAAAAATTATATCAATGTATATTTTTACCTGCTGTAAAATTTTGTATGTTATTTCAAATGTTCTGATGTTTTGATAGAGAAATATACTTACAAACGGTTTAAGAAATATATTTTTGTTAAAACATTACGTACCTTTCCAATTTTTATTTTTTTTATGATATGATCCTGGTCGTATTCTTGCTAAATATATTAATTAGATTTAATTAGATTTTGTTTTGCTTGATTTTATTTTTAAAAAAATATTGGCAGCAACAATTTGTTTGGTTGAGTGTGATTTACGCAATCACCTATAATTTGTGAGGTGAAATATTTTGGTTTAAACTTTATTGAACAACCTTACCTTTCTTTCCGACACTAAAATCTCCTACTTCCATAAGTTTAATTGGTTTATTTTGTGTTAAATTTAGCTAAGACCATTGAAAACTAGTGAACGGTTATAGTAAAAAAACAAAAACAATATAAATTCTTCACGTTTATGCTTCTTAGATTCATATTAATCCAAAAAATATTTTTCAGTTAAAAAAAAGATGAATAATCTCTTAGTTTTTATTTTTGTTATTTCTATGTATTTTGGGATAAATGAAGCCAGACAATGCAAGATGCGTGATGATAATATGTTGGAAATTCAAAACAAACTTGGTCCTGGTCGTATTCTCAAGGTTAATTGCAACGATGCAGCAAGAGTTAAACGGGGCATATTCGGGTTAAAATTCAACGAGACATATCGATTCCCTGCTCCCTGGGGTAGATTCATATGGCTTTGTACTTTGACTCACGGCTCTCCCAAGGAGTTGGTTTATTTGCTGGAAGCAGAAGTAGGGTGTACACATGGATTCCGCTCTTGGATTGCCAAAGTTGATGGGGTTTACTATAAGAGCAATGCAACTGCACCACCCATACGTTTGGGTGGATACACAATGGCGAGTGTGGCGAAACCATAAAATTAAGGATTATTTGGAGAATTAGTACGTTTTGGAAAAGTAATATGCAAATTAGTACATATACTATTTATTATTAGGAAAATAGTCGGTGAACCCTACAATGTGAGATAGAAAATGGTGTGAGATAGAGAAAAGAAGGGAAAAAAAATGACAAAGAGGGCAATTTTATCGATTTGGGTTTTTGTTTTTTTTTTTTGTTTTTTATTATTTTATTTCTCTGAATATGTTTATCCCATGAATCTAATAACTCACCTACTCATTTTTGTACTTTTTTTTTGGTAAAACTTTTGTGATACACAAAAATCTATGTTTTTTTCTCTACAATTTGATATGTATTTTGCTTAATAAATTTTAAATTTATTTCATATGAATATATTTATTTGTACAGTTTAGTATGTGTACAGACGTATTTTGTACAGTTTAGTATATGTACATACGTATCTGTACATTTGATTGGATGTACAGATGTATCCGTACAGTTTACTTAGTGTACGGATGTATAAAAGACTATACATTTTTATCTGTACATCTATTATAGTATACCAAAATATGCATATTTATGTATATTTGTACAGTAATACACTGTACGGATAATATTAAGTGGTATTTTTATTGTTGTACAAAAAAATATTTTTGAATATCCGTACACTTAGTAAACTGTACATATACGTCTTTGGTGGCATACTCGTAAATATTTTGTTTATCTGAGGGCTTAAATGTTATTGAAATAGTAGTAAACAGTGAAAATGTATTAGTTTCCTAATTGTAAATAGTGATTGTACTACTTTTATAATTATGTTTGAAAAATGTACTACTTTTACAACTCACCCTAAAATTAAATTCCAATAAACCTACTTTTCTTAAGGTTTATATATTGCTAATATTATCAAGTGCATGGATGTTATTTTAAGAGTTTATTATTTCTCGTTAGTAAAAAATATTATTTATTCAACAAGAAAGTATTCAAGATCAGTAGATGACTTTTTGTATATGTGATAGAGTAAGTAAGAGCAATGCCATGACATTAGGTTTTGACGAAACCATACTCCTACTCCTGCCCCCGCAGAGTGTTCTATATGACGTTGTATCATGTCGTCGGGCCAATTTTTCACATACATTAAAGTTCCATATTTAATGGGATGTTCCATCTCATTAAATATATGTCATCATGAATCAACAACAACAAGTATGCATGCATGAACAATTCGGCGTAGATGGAAAAAGTCTACTAATAAAAGTTTTATTACACAACATATGATATAACATGTTCGACGGTGGAGTCAACTGATCAACTAGTTAATTATAACACCATCCTTGTCTTTAGACGTCTAGACGTGTGGTGTGCAGGTGATGCATGGATCGAACCACATATCATGTCCCGGTGAATCAAAAGCTAGCTCTTACAATTATTACGGACATGGTCACATGCATGCCCCAAAACACACACAGACGAAAAGTCAGCCATGTGAAAGGAACCAACCTACTTTTTGGAAAAAGAAAAAAAAAAGACAGAACACAACAATATAAGGTTCAAACTCAACACCTACCCTCCAATTCCATTGTCTATCTATAAAAGTTCAGTTCAATCCCAACTTGGACTGCAAGATCAGGTTTCCTCAGCTTCACCATATCTCAGCTCGTGTCCTCCACGCTCCAACCTTTTTTCTATTTTTGGTAGTAGAATACAATTTAAGAAAAAAAAAAAAAAAAGAAGACAATCTCTACTTCTTTTGGAAGTTTCGAATTACAATAGTTGTATAAGTTTACACGTAAAGAAACGAATCGTTCGTAGTATTAAGTTTTGTTGAATTTGATTGATTCTCTTCTTCTAGAACCTTTTCATCTTTCGGTGAACTAAATTGTAGCATTTCCATGTCACCGTTAAATACGAGAAAACAAAAAAAAAGTGTACATACATATATGATTATTATGGGTGGACTACGTATGGGTATTCTATATATATATCCGTTCAGGTTTGGTTTGTTGATATATATCTTTTCTATTTATGGATCGGATTCGAGTTCAGTTCGTATTATTTCGGTTCGGGTTCGAGTATCTGAAATATTAGAAAAATCAAGAGAACTAGTTATTTATAAAAAAAATTAAAAAAAAAGTAGTTAAATTTTGATAACTATATCTAAGAATTTTTATATATTTCAGTTGATTTAGATATATTAGTTATTTTGATCTAAAGGTAGTTGATATTTTAAGATATAAAATTATAGGATTATATAATTGAGTTAAACCAAATCTAAACAAAGTTATTTTCTTATCTTAAAAAATTAGTTAATTTTTGATAAATATAACTAAGAAAGTTCATATATCTAAGTTAATTTAGATATATTAATTAGTTATTTTGATTTAAATGTAATTAATATTTTAGGATTTATAATTGTAATATTATATAATTGAGTTACAGGAAATCTAAACATAGTTACTTCGTATACCAGGCAAAAAAACCGTATCTGAATACTCAATCCGGAATCTGATCCAAAAAACCCGTTCGATATGCCTAAATAACCTTATTGAGTTATATATTGCTAAACCCGTATGTTTATGTTCATGCCAGAGTAATACCTGATACCCGAATGAGTACCTATAAAATCCGAAAACTATAAAAATATTTAAAATATTAATAATATTTAACATTAATATCACATATCATCCAAGATAATAATTTCAATATTGAATATATCATTTAGTTCTATACCTAAATTCCCAAAATGATTAAAATATCCAAAAAATATTAATCCAAAATTTAGCTAAATTTATTATTTAACCAATATTTAAAGGTTTTTTAAGTAACCGGTAGTTTGGATAGTATAATTGGGTTCTAAAATTTATAACTCAAACCAACTCGAATCTGATAGTATTTAAACTAAATTCAACCAAAAATCTAAAATTATCCATAATCAATTCTATTTTTCTAAAACGGTTTACTACAAATACCTATATTCAGTTTTCGGTTCAGATTTGAATATCAAATTACAAAAGTTTAGTACATATTCATATATTTTTAGCGTTTAGGATTTGATCAGATCGGAATATTTTTTTTCAAATCCGGGTTCAATTAAAATTTATGTACTGTATTTTTTTTTTTTTGGACAAAATTTATGTACTATCTTCATAAGCTTTTTTTTTTTTTTTTTTTTGCAACTTGTCATATATTTTCACTACAATAAAGAATCATGAAAAGAAAAAGAGAAAGTATATATATATAACTTAAGCGCGTGAACTGAAGTCACACGCGCTAAGATAGCAACTTGGGAAATTGGACTACTTGACGGATTCTTCCTCTTTTTTTCCTTATTCAACACGGTCTTCTTCGTTGAATATTATAAATATACAAAAACCAAAACCTCTCATTATTATTATTCTTCATAGCTTTATTATTGTAAAGAAAAACCAAAACAAAGAACTCACCAAGATCCTATTTTCTCCTTACAAAATAAATCTCTTTGTTTTCATTGTTTCATATACAGTTTCGATCAATCATGAATTCGATGTTTAGTGCCTTCGACGCTCTTTTCGCAGAGCTCATGGGAAAGAACCTCATGGCTTCTTCTTCTTCTTCTTTTACTTCGACCGCCGCCGCCATACCGCAAACGCAAACGCAAACGCAGAAGGAGGATAACGCAAGTAACGAAAACATGTGTTTGGTGAAGAAGAAGGAGAAGAAGAAGACTACTCCTAGGTATGCTGTGGAGTTCGACGGTCTTCACTGCTTCGAAACTATAGTCCGTTCTTGATTTTTCGATTTCGTTTCTTGGAATTTCAAGATCCGAAATCTTTCTTCTTTGAGTTTTCTTGTTTTCTTGTTTTTATTTTTCGTGTTAATTTTATTCTATTTATTCATTTTACAACATTACAACATGTTATATATTTGTGGAATATACGAATTAATCGGTTTTTGATCTGGTTTTAATATAGAGTTTCTTGATTTTTTTCGATTTCTAATTCATATTTCTCTGGTTCTGGACGTAGACGCAAGGGTGCCAATTCTTGATTGTTCAAACTTTTCAGATTCTTGGAAACATATCTAATCAGATCGTAACTTGTGTGTATATTCTGAAAAATCATCAATTCTCTCTAGCAAAATAGAGCGTGTTGCAGGATTACTAATCTTGGTTTTCTTCAATTTCTCTTTTTTTTTTTTTTTATCTACTATTCTTATGTAAACCGGTTGGTTTGCTAAACCATTAGCTCAATTTCTATTTTGTTTGCCTTTGGCTAGTTTACAATCGAAGTTAATAGAACGATTTGAAACCATTTATAAAATATTAGTTATAGTAAGGAATTGAATTGAATATTTTGTGATCAAAGAGTAGTTAGTGTACATGTATTTATATATTAAAAGTAAATTGAAAATTTAAAGGTTAATACAAAGTGACTAATAAATGCAACTGTTAGATTTTGTTAGAAAAAAATTAATAGCTTACTTTCACAAGTATTTTTTATGATTATATAATAGTTGATATATAAGACATAAATTGACTAATCAATATAATAATAAAAATATTCAATAAATTAAATTGCTTTGTATTTTTTTAATAATGTAATAATTGACATAAGATATGAACCGACTAATCAATGTTAAAAATGACCAAATTAACACCAAAACAAACCCCAATTTTTCTGTTTATGGAGTGGGGATAGAACAATATGTCTTATTATTATTATTTTTTTGTCAACCAATATGTCTTATTTATTAAACTCTTTTTATAGTCACTAAAGATTGTATGAACCAAATAAATCTAAAATCGAATTTGAGAATAGAATCACAAACCAATTGCAAATTCCCTCTTCCATAAAAAGGTTTTACAAACTTAACCCATTAATTAATTAGATAACAAAATTAGATTCAAATCGCCACATCTCACGCTAAACCAATTGGAGAAAATTTTATTAGGTCAAAAAAACTCAGCCGCGTGCTTTTTAAGAAAACTTCAACTTTTTTGGACTAAACTCGGATCCAACTAGGATTCTTCTCTTTCCTTATCCAACACGGTCTTGTTTCGTCGCGTCTCTCTTTATATAATAAGAACATAATTTATTTTTCTTGTTTGTTGTTCCTTTCACATCATCATCATCAAAACTCATCAAAAGATTTAGTTTGTGATAATGAATTCGATGTTTAGTGCCTTTGATGCCATGTGTGCTGAGATTATGGGGAAGAAAGTCACAGCTGATTCTTCTGTCTACCGCTCTGAACGCAACGCTGCTTCTTTCGGCGGTCAAAACGCGTCTTTCTTGCTCAAAAAAGATGAAGAAGAAGCTTCCAAGAACATTGATTTGGTGACCAAGACTCCGAGGTTTGCTGTTGAGCTCGATGGCCTTCATTGCTTCGAGACCATAGTTCGTTCTTGATCACTAATTCAAGATTACTCTTTTTTTCTTCTTGTCTTGTTTTTGATGTAAATACAATTTTGGAAAAATACTCAATTTCTTGATTAAGAATCATCCTCATCATCATCATCATCCATTGTGATTGATTGATTGATTCATCGGTTTGTTTTCGAGTTGCTTCTTGTTTTCGTTTTATCAATTCTTGAATCTGTGTATATGTTATAAAGAAAAGAATGATTTTTTTTCTTTTTTTGGTTCTTGTTCTTTAAGAATCGTAAAGGATCAAACTTTTGCAAGAATTTAGGGTTTAGGAGGCAAAAATTGGGGCTTGTGTTGTTGTTGAACATGAACATCAAAGAACCCTATACTAATTGATCCATAAGAAGAAGTTGAAAACTATACATTAGAGAGTTTAAGGCAACTTTTTTAGAAACTTGTGTGCCAAATTGCTCCATCACCTTCTCCACAACGTTGATGTACTTCAAGCATTCTATCAACAGATTTGCAGATTCCGCTACAGCTCCAGTCGAACGATGCTGCGCAAGGGTTTCCTGCTTGACCCTTCCATTCACAATCTGCATAGAGAATAAAAGTTACCAACTTGATGATTTCTTGAATGATTCTCTGTTTTGCTTATTTGATGTGTGACTAGCCAGGTTTTATCTTATTTACCCAAGGGTGTTCCGCAGCAGAGGCTTCTATCATCGATATGTTCAACATCGAGACCAATGAACCAAGAACCTAAAGAGACATCTTCATTTGCATACTTGTGAAGTAGTTGCCTGAAAAAATGAAGGTGAAATGTGTGAAAAAAAAAGGAGAGGATGATTTTTAAGAATCTGAGCTGAGAGGGTTTACCTGTTGACTGAGATGTAAGTTGCTAAATCTTTGGAGACGGCATAGATTTGTCCAGTAGCGTGTCTGAAGTACTTGTTTCCTTCTTCACCAAACTTCCAATATTCTGGCTCATGGTATTTGACTCCTCTGCAGCACAATATCCGAAACAAGAGTAAACTAATCTGTGTAAAAAACATGAGCTTGTGACATACTTTGTTGCTTACTTTTGAGCAAGGACAGGTCCAGACTTCATGCAACCAATGTACACTCGCGGTTTCGATCTGTGACGAGCCAATGTAGAACCAAGCATTCCTGGATAATGACTTACAAGTTTAAATTAAGCTTTTCTTGGAATAGTAGCAATATGCTTTGAAAATACATGAATGCTTTTATGTAACTGACCAAGATTTACATGAACATCATCATCCACTTTGACGTAGAAGTCTGCATCCCATTTTGCAACAGCAGATGAGAAGTATATTTGGGTTTTAGATGATAATTCATGATACCCTTCTATGTGGTTCTGCAAGATTTCACTATTTGATTAACTAACGGAAAAGGACAGAGCGGTATATAAGCATTGCGGGCTGGAGGGCGTATTAAATTTACCAGGCGAAAGAAGTCCTTATGTTGTTCTTCTTCAGCTTCAATGGTGTGGTCCAAGACTCCTCCAGGAGAAGAACTATTTGACAATTTGTTAATATCAAAATATAACAGCCAATATTGACAATATAGTATGTTTGAAACCAAAGAGTACCTGTGACCTATGACAAATCGCATAATGATTCCCTTCTCTGTCTCTAATCTTTTCAATTCATCTCCTGCAAAGTAAATAAACAAAGCAACAAATCTTTTTCAACACTTTTTGTCACATCTGATACAGAGAAAGAAGAGCTGGTTTGTTCTTGTTGAACCTTTAGGAAGCCATGTTCCTCTTATCGAGTCTCTTCGTTTTCTGCTACTGAAAGCAGTCATGATTCCCATCACAAAGAACATCCGAGGCCGAATCTTCGATTGGTCTGCTACTGATTTCGCAACAGCTGGAGATCCATCTCCACCATCAGATCTTGCTGCTCTAGCTGTAGCTAGTTCTAACTCAAGAGAAGAAATTGTCTTGTCTAATGTCCTGTACATGGATTGCATAACCAGAATTAATGTACAGTACTACAAAACCATGTTTTAGTGAGACAAGAAAGAAACTTTACTTGATAACATCATGAGTATGTGAAACTCGAGATAGAATGTCACCTTCCTGGATTAAAGAACAATACAAAACTAAGATTAATTGTAATAAACTGGAACAAGTCAGGTGATGTAATAATAAACACACAACGTCATCTACTTGCCTTGCTCTCACAATCTATAAGAGGATGAAGTGAATCATTTTGAACAGGTGAAGCTCTCTCAATGTCATCTACGGTCTCAGATGTCGCCAAAAGCCTAAAGAAAGAAAAAGAGGTAAGATCAGAAGCTATGACATTGAAGTGTTATTAATCAACCAAAGGGACTCAAAGCTCGCTAAAGAACCAGTTGGATCACTAAAGGTCTAAAGCTAACTGTGGCAAAGGAAAGGATCAATCTTAAGAACTAATTAAAGCTACTTGCACAAAAGCAGAACCACAACAAAAAGGAAAGAAAAACATAATCTTTTCATTAGAGTAAACATAACTCTGCATCAGAAAGTTCCATAATTTATCAAAGTGGAGACAGAACATACAGTAGAAGAGACAAAGTCACAGTCTTTTGAAGCTTATATCTACACAAATCCCTTAACTTGCCTAACTGTGGCAAAGGAAAGGATCAAGCTTGTTCTAGGCCATATAACCAATATTAAGAACTAATAAAAGCTACTTGCACAAAAGAAGAACCACAACAAAGTAAAAAACTGAATCTTTTCATTAGTGTAAACTTAATTCTGCATCAGAATGTTCCAGATTCACCAATGTGAGAACAGAACATACAGTAGAAGAGACAAAGTCACAGTCTTTTGAAGCTACATCTACACAAAGTCCCTTAAATTTCATCAACAGTAACTAGTTACCATTCAGACAAGACCAAGAGAGAGAGAGAGAGAGAATTAAAGAACCTGTTAACGACAAGAACACCAAGAACAAAGCTAGAAACGCAGAGAACACAAACCCATCTCGCTGAAACACCAGAAGAAGTTGAAGATTTCTGATACCTTCCCATTCCCATTTTTTGAGAAGAACAGAAGAGGAACTCGTAATGAGAAGAAGAGGAAAGCTTGTTTCTTTCTTTTTAAGGTTGTCTAGCGAAAACAACATGTGAACTCATCAAAACGACATCATCGTCTTCTCGGATGAGCAAACAGAAAAGAAAAAAAACTCAATTATGTCTGTAATTGATTCCTCCTTTTTCTTTTTTTTTTTTTTTATCTTTTTCACCACTCTCTATTTTGCAGTAGACTTCATTTTTTAATATAATTTTGGTTGCAAAATCAAAAAACTCATTATTGCTGGCGAAAAGAGTCGCGTGATTCTCAGCTTCACACTGTTCTGTTCTGTCAGTACGAAGACAAAATGCTAACTTCCAAATTTGCCCCTTTATTCTATACAAGACCACCAAATTTGTTTTCTTTCTGATTTTTAGATACTCTTCAACGGTTATACTATAACTTATCTTTTTGAATTTTGATAGAAGACTAATAACTTATTTTCACGAAATTACTTTATAATTATGTAAATTTTTCTTACATAGTTTTATTAAAAAAATTATTTAAAAGTATAAAACTTAAGAAATAATAAATGTTTACTTATTTAAACAAATTTAACCAATGTAAATGAATTATATTTAATAGGCATAAATAATTAAATCTAATGTAACTTTTGCAATAAAAACTTGAGAAAATCTAATAAAATAGAACAAAAGAAAAAGTCTAAAACATCTTATATATTGGCACAAACAGAGTGTTATAATTTGGTGTATATATATATATATATATATATATATATATATATTAATATTATAATTTGAATTTTTTTTTTGGGGAATTTCAAAAATACCCCTTTTCATATACCTCTTTTTAAAAATACCCCCTTTTCAAACTTTATCAAAAAACCCACTAAAAATATTGAAATTTATCCAAATATGTGTGTAAGCTTATAAATATATACACAAATTACCTTTATATGTGTATAAAACTTTATATACCTTTCATAAATAGCGTAAAAATAAATTATAAAAACCTTATAAAAACCTTATAAAACCGTATAAACCCTTTTAAAAACCTTTTAAAAACCTTATAAAACTTACAAAAACGATTTAAAACTATTTCAAACATTTTAAAATATTTGTATCGAATCTCCCATTAGTAATTATTATATAGAAGTACCTTATAAACTATATAAAACTTTATAATTTTTTATTTAAAAAGGGGTATTTTTGAAAATAGATAGATAAAAGGGTATTTTTAAAAAGGGGTACACCAAAAGGGGTATTTCTCAAAAATTCTCTTTTTTTTTTTTTATAGTTTTAACGTAATATTTGGGCATCGTCTTTCCCAAATTGTACATTTATGAGTTCGTTAATACTGTATTAATATTTCGGCATTCGATGTTTGCTTAATGTGTTCTAAAATTTGATTAATGATACGATATATATTGAATCTATGAGAGAAGGAACTAACTTCTCATTCTCATAGATCCAATAAGCTCATTTGTATTTTCATAGATTCAAGAAGACAAATACATACTTATATATATGGTAGCATCTTTTGTCTCGTATTCGTATATAGCATATTTTGATGGGTCCTTTTCGTTTCTCTCTCTCGTTAGGTATGACAATTGTCTTCTTTAAAGTCTCATCTATGTAAATCTAAAATTTTCATTTAGGTATCTTACAAAATCTAACCATACTTTATGTTTGCGTGTAAATATTTACATATAGAAATAAAAAATGTCCATGACCATAACTTTGCTTAGTGTTGTGGATCTTAACCACCTTTGTTTTTCCCTAGCTAAACTATATTGTACTATGAGACAAAACCTGAGCGTGAGATTAGTTTAAGGGGCTCGACGTTATTAGTCCATAGATCAAGATTTTGATACAAAAGACTATATATGATTTAATAAGTTTTATGTGTCTCGACTTTTAAATCATTAAATTAGGACTATAGGGTGGCCACCAACCTTTAATAGATAATCGAAATTATAATGATTAGTACCATGCATTAACCATCAATTTATCGGAATTATGGGTTGAATCTACAGATAAGCATGTTAATATATTATACTAGTACAATACAATATTCTAAAGTTTCCATACGCATTTCGGCTAAGGTAGATATAACTTCGAACCAAAGGAACATGTAATTAAGAAAGACGGTTAATTTAAAATTCTATTAAATACATGATATGTTATATTATTCACGAGCATGGGAATTGTCTCTAGCA